ACCCCATCCCAACATCACTCTGCCCAAACCTCCATATCCCACCACCCCATCCCAACATCACTCTGCCCAAACCTCCATATCCCACCACCCCACCACCACATCACTCTCCCCAAACCTCCATATCCCACCACCCCACCACCACATCACACAGCCCAAACCTCCATATCCCACCACCCCACCACAACATCACTCTCCCCAAACCTTCATATCCCACCACCCAACCACATCACGCTACCCAAACCTACATATCCAACCACCCCACCCCAACATCACTCTCCCCCAAACCTCCATATCCCACAACCCCACCCGAACATCACTCTCCCCAAACCTCCATATCCCACCACCCCATCCCAACATCACTCTACCAAACCTCCATATCCCACCACCCCATCCCAACATCACTCTGCACAAACCTCCATATCCCACCACCCAACCACATCACTCTACCAAACCTCCATATCCCACCACCCCACCACAACATCACTCTGCCCAAACCTCCATATCCCACCACCCCATCCCAACATCACTCTACCAAACCTCCATATCCCACCACCCCATCCCAACATCACTCTGCCCAAACCTCCATATCCCACCACCCCATCCCAACATCACTCTGCCCAAACCTCCATATCCCACCACCCCATCCCAACATCACTCTGCCCAAACCTCCATATCCCACCACCCCATCCCAACATCACTCTGCCCAAACCTCCATATCCCACCACCCCATCCCAACATCACTCTACCCAAACCTCCATCACTCTACCCAAACCTCCATATCCCGCCACCCCATCCCAACATCACTCTGCCCAAACCTCCATATCCCAACACCCCATCCCAACATCACTCTGCCCAAACCTCCATATCCCACCACCCCATCCCAACATCACTCTGCCCAAACCTCCATATCCCACCACCCCATCCCAACATCACTCTACCCAAACCTCCATATCCCACCACCCCATCCCAACATCACTCTACCAAACCTCCATATCCCACCACCCCATCCCAACATCACTCTGCCCAAACCTCCATATCCCACCACCCCATCCCAACATCACTCTGCCCAAACCTCCATATCCCACCACCCCATCCCAACATCACTCTGCCCAAACCTCCATATCCCACCACCCCATCCTAACATCACTCTGCCCAAACCTCCATATCCCACCACCCCATCCCAACATCACTCTGCCCAAACCTCCATATCCCACCACCCCATCCCAACATCACTCTCCCCAAATCTCCATATCCCACCACCCCATCCCAACATCACTCTGCCCAAACCTCCATATCCCACCACCCCATCCCAACATCACTCTGCCCAAACCTCCATATCCCACCACCCCATCCCAACATCACTCTGCCCAAACCTCCATATCCCAACACCCCATCCCAACATCACTCTGCCCAAACCTCCATATCCCACCACCCCATCCCAACATCACTCTGCCCAAACCTCCATATCCCACCACCCCATCCCAACATCACTCTGCCCAAACCTCCATATCCCAACACCCCATCCCAACATCACTCTGCCCAAACCTCCATATCCCACCACCCCATCCCAAAATCACTCTGCCCAAACCTCCATATCCTACCACCCCAGCCAAACACGACTCTGCCCAAACCTCCATATCCTACCACCCCATCCCAACATCACTCTACCCAAACCTCCATATCCCACCACCCCATCCCAACATCACTCTGAGCAAACCACCATATCCTACCACCCGAGCAAAACACAACTCTGACCAAACCCCAGCCAAATAGCACTCTGACCAAACCTCCATATGTCAACACCCCAGTCAACATGTCTCTGACCAAACCTCCATATGTCAACACCCCAGCCAAACATGACTCTGACCAAACCTCCATATGTCAACACCCCAGTCAAACATGACTCTGACCAAACCTCCATATCCCACAACCCCACCACAACATCACTCTCCCCAAACCTTCATATCCCACCACTCCAGTCAAACACAACTCTGACCAAACCTCCATATGTCAACACCCCAGTCAAACATGTCTCTGACCAAACCTCCATATGTCAACACCCCAGCCAAACATGACTCTGACCAAACCTCCATATGTCAACACCCCAGTCAAACATGACTCTGACCAAACCTCCATATCCCACAACCCCACCACAACATCACTCTCCCCAAACCTTCATATCCCACCACTCCAGTCAAACACAACTCTGACCAAACCTCCATATGTCAACACCCCAGTCAAACATGTCTCTGACCAAACCTCCATATCCCACAACCCCACCCGAACATCACTCTCCCCAAACCTTCATATCCCACCACCCCACCACAACATGACTCTGCCCAAACCTCCATATCCCACAACCCCACCACAACATCACTCTCCCCAAACCTTCATATCCCACCACTCCAGTCAAACACAACTCTGACCAAACCTCCATATGTCAACACCCCAGTCAAACATGTCTCTGACCAAACCTCCATATGTCAACACCCCAGTCAAACATGTCTCTGACCAAACCTCCATATCCCACAACCCCACCCCAACATCACTCTCCCCAAACCTTCATATCCCACCACCCCACCACAACATCACTCTGCCCAAACCTCCATATCCCACCACCCCTCCACCACATCACTCTCCCAAAACCTCCATATCCCACCACCCAACCACATCACTCTCCCCAAACCTCCACCACCCAGCCACATCACTCTCCCCAAACCTTCATATCCCACCACCCCACCACAACATCACTCTGCCCAAACCTTCATATCCCACCACCCAACCACATCACTCTCCCCAAACCTTCATATCCCACCACCCCACCACAACATCACTCTGCCCAAACCTCCATATCCCAACACCCCATCCCAACATCACTCTGCCCAAACCTCCATATCCCACCACCCCATCCCAACATCACTCTGCCCAAACCTCCATATCCCAACACCCCATCCCAACATCACTCTGCCCAAACCTTCATATCCCACCACCCAGCCACATCACTCTCCCCAAACCTCCATGTCCCACCACCCCATCCCAACACAACTCTGCCCAAATCTCCATATCCCACCACCCCATCCCAACATCACTCTGCCCAAACCTCCATATCCTACCACCCCATCCCAACATCACTCTACCCAATCCTCCATATCCCAACACCCCATCCCAACATCACTCTGAGCAAACCACCATATCCTACCACCCCATCCCAACACAACTCTGACCAAACCTCCATATCCTACCACCCCAGCCAAACACAACTCTGACCAAACCTCCATATCCCACCACCCCAGCCAAATAGCACTCTGCCCAAACCTTCATATCCCACCAAACACAACTCTGACCACCTCCATATGTCAACAACACATGACTCTGACCAAACCTCCATATCAACACCCCAGCCAAACATGACCAAACCTCCATATGTCAACACCCCAGCCAAACACAACTCTGACCAAACCTCCATATGTCAACACCCCATATATCCCACCACCCCAGCCAAATAGCACTCTGCCCAAACCTTCATATCCCACCACTCCAGTCAAACACAACTCTGACCAAACCTCCATATGTCAACACCCCAGTCAAACATGACTCTGACCAAACCTCCATATGTCAACACCCCAGCCAAACATGACTCTGACCAAACCTCCATATGTCAACACCCCAGCCAAACATGACTCTGACCAAACCTCCATATGTCAACACCCCAGTCAAACATGACTCTGACCAAACCTCCATATCCCACAACCCCACCACAACATCACTCTCCCCAAACCTTCATATCCCACCACTCCAGTCAAACACAACTCTGACCAAACCTCCTTATGTCAACACCCCAGTCAAACATGACTCTGACCAAACCTCCATATCCCACTACCCCACCACAACATCACTCTCCCCAAACCTTCATATCCCACCACCCCACCACCACATCACTCTGCCCAAACCTCCATATCCCACCACCCAACCACATCACTCTCCCCAAACCTCCATATCCCACCACCCCACCACAATATCACTCTGCCCAAACCTCTATATCCCACCACCCCACCACAACATCACTCTCCCCAAACCTTCATATCCCACCACCCAACCACCAAAACACTCTCCCCAAACCTTCATATCCCACCACCTCACCACCAAAACACTTTCCCCAAACCTCCATATCCTACCACCCCACCACCACATCACTCTCCCCAAACCTCCATATCCCACCACCCCACCACAACATCACTCTCCCCAAACCTTCATATCCCACCAACCAACCACCAAAACACTCTCCCCAAAACTTCATATCCCACCACCCAACCACCAAAACACTTTCCCCAAACCTTCATATCCCACCACCCCACCACAACATCACTCTCCCCAAACCTTCATATCCCACCACCCAACCACCAAAACACTCTCCCCAAACCTCCATATCCCACCACCCCTTCACCACATCACTCTCCCCAAACCCCCATATCCCACCACCCAACCACATCACTCTGCACAAACCTCCATATCCCACCACCCAACCACATCACTCCTCTCCCCAAACCTTCATATCCCACCACCCCACCACAACATCACTCTGCCCAAACCTTCATATCCCACCACCCAACCACATCACTCTCCCCAAACCTCCATATCCCACCAACCCATCCCAACACAACTCTGCCCAAATCTCCATATCCCACCACCCCATCCCAACATCACTCTGCCCAAACCTCCATATCCTACCACCCCATCCCAACATCACTCTACCCAATCCTCCATATCCCAACACCCCATCCCAACATCACTCTGAGCAAACCACCATATCCTACCTCCCCAGCAAAACACAACTCTGACCAAACCTCAATATCCTACCACCCCAGCCAAACACAACTCTGACCAAACCTCCATATCCCACCACCCCAGCCAAATAGCACTCTGCCCAAACCTTCATATCCCACCACTCCAGTCAAACACAACTCTGACCAAACCTCCATATGTCAACACCCCAGTCAAACATGACTCTGACCAAACCTCCATATGTCAACACCCCAGCCAAACATGACTCTGACCAAACCTCCATATGTCAACACCCCAGTCAAACATGACTCTGCCCAAACCTTCATATCCCACCACCCTACCACAACATCACTCTCCCCAAACCTTCATATCCCACCACCCAACCACCAAAACACTCTCCCCAAACCTCCATATCCCACCACCCCTCCACCACATCACTCTCCCCAAACCTCCATATCCCACCACCCCTCCACCACATCACTCTGCCCAAACCGCCATATCCCACCACCCCACCTTTACACCTCTCTTTGTTTTGTACCCCTGACTCCTACAACACGAAATGAACCTTTGTTTTTTTTTGCTCCTTTATTTTTTTAGATCATTCAACATCGGTGGTTATGATGTTTCTCTTCCTTGCCACCTTATTTGGTGTGGTGACCCTGGCAGGGGGTCAATCAACACCAATCAGAACAGAAACATGTTCCGGAAATCACCAGAGTACTACTATACAGCCTAATGGGCAGGCCTTTATTGGAGGTTTAGTTAGCATGAACTATGTGGCAGATAGTGGGCATGGATGCGGAAACATTTCACCTATAGGTCAGTAATAATCTTGTGTGCTGTGCTGAGGTAAAAAAAAGGTTTAAAAGATTATGAATTATATTATTGTTCTATAATTTGACTACATTGATGCTAATTACACTACAAGGATACTGACTACACTACAAGGATACTGACTACACTACAAGGATACTGACTACACTACAACAATACCGACTACACTATAACAAGATTATGAATTATATAATTGTTCTATAATTTGACTACATTGATGCTAATTACACTACAAGGATACTGACTACACTACAAGGATACTGACTACACTACAAGGATACTGACTACACTACAACAATACCGACTACACTATAACAAGATTATGAATTATATAATTGTTCTATAATTTGACTACATTGATGCTAATTACACTACAAGGATACTGACTACACTACAAGGATACTGACTACACTACAAGGATACTGACTACACTACAACAATACCAACTACACTACAAGGATACTGACTACACTACAAGGATACTGACTACACTACAAGGATACTAAATACACTACAAGGATACTGACTACACTACAACAATACTGACTACACTACCAGGATACTGGCTACACTACAAGGATACTGACTACACTACAAGGATACTGACTACACTGCAAGGATACTGACTACACTACCAGGATACTGACTACACTACAAGGATACTGACTACACTACAACAATACTAACTACACTACAAGGATACTGACTACACTACAATGATACTGATAACATTGCAAGGATACTGACTACACTACCAGGATACTGACTACACTTCAAGGATACTGACTACACTACAAGGATACTGACTACACTACAACAATACCAACTACACTACAAGGATACTGACTACACTACAAGGATACTGACTACACTACAAGGATACTAAATACACTACAAGGATACTGACTACACTACAACAATACTGACTACACTACCAGGATACTGGCTACACTACAAGGATACTGACTACACTACAAGGATACTGACTACACTGCAAGGATACTGACTACACTACCAGGATACTGACTACACTACAAGGATACTGACTACACTACAACAATACTAACTACACTACAAGGATACTGACTACACTACAATGATACTGATAACATTGCAAGGATACTGACTACACTACCAGGATACTGACTACACTTCAAGGATACTGACTACACTACAACAATACTAACTACACTACAAGGATACTGACTACACTACAAGGATACTGACAACATTGCAAGGATACTGACTACACTACCAGGATACTGACTACACTACAAGGATACTGACTACACTACAAAGATACTGACAACGCTGCAAGGATACTGACTACGCTACAGGGATACTGACTACACTACAACAATACTAACTACACTACAAGGATACTAACTACACTACAAGGATACTGACTACACTACAAGGATACTAACTACACTACAAGGATACTGACTACACTGCAAGGATACTGACTACACTACAAGGATACTGACTACACTGCAAGGATACTGACTACACTACAACAATACCAACTACACTACAACAATACTGACTACACTACAAGGATACTGACTACACTGCAAGGATACTGACTACACTACAACAATACCAACTACACTACAACAATACTGACTACACTACAAGGATACTGACTACACTACAAGGATACTAACTACACTACAACAATACCAACTACACTACAACAATACTGACTACACTACAAGGATACTAACTACACTACAAGGATACTAACTACACTACAAGGATACTAACTACACTACAAGGATACTGACTACACTACAAGGATACTAACTACACTACAAGGATACTAACTACACTACAAGGATACTAACTACACTACAAGGATACTGACTACACTACAAGGATACTGACTACACTACAACAATACCAACTACACTACAACAATACTGACTACACTACAAGGATACTAACTACTCTGCAAGGATACTGACTACACTACAGGGATACTGACTACTCTGCAAGGATACTGACTACACTACAAGGATACTAACTACACTACAACAATACTGACTACACTACAAGGATACTGACTACACTACAAGGATACTAACTACACAACAAGGATACTGACTACACTACAAGGATACTAACTACACTACAAGGATACCAACTACACTACAACAATACTGACTACACTTCAAGGATACTTACTACACTACAAGGATACTAACTACACTACAAGGATACCAACTACACCACAACAATACTGACTACACTTCAAGGATACTGACTACACTACAAGGATACTGACTACACTACAAGGATACTGACTACACTACAACAATACTGACTACACTACAACAATACTGACTACACTTCAACAATACTGACTTCACTACAAGGATACTGACTACACTACAAGGATACTAACTACACTACAAGGATACCAACTACACTACAACAATACTGACTACACTTCAAGGATACTGACTACACTACAAGGATACTGACTACACTACAACAATACTAACTACACTACCAGGATACTGGCTACACTACAAGGATACTGACTACACTACAAGGATACTGACTACACTACAGGGATACTGACTACACTACAAGGATACTAACTACACTGCAAGGATACTGACTACACTACAACAATACTGACTACACTACAACAATACCAACTACACTACAACAATACTGACTACACTACAAGGATACTGACTACACTACAAGGATACTGACTACACTACAACAATACCGACTACACTACAAGGATACTGACTACACTACAAGGATACTAACTACACTACAAGGATACTGACTACACTACAAGGATACTAACTACACTACAAGGATACCAACTACACTACAACAATACTGACTACACTTCAAGGATACTGACTACACTACAAGGATACTGACTTCACTACAAGGATACTGACTACACTACAACAATACCAACTACACTACAACAATACTGACTACACTACAAGGATACTGACTACACTGCAAGGATACTGACTACACTACAACAATACTGACTACACTACAAGGATACTGACTACACTACAAGGATGCTGACACTTAAGTTATTTATAGTAAAGCGAAGGTTGTACGATTTGATGATTGTTTAACCTTGTCAGTAATTCTGTCATGATTTTGTTACAATTTGTTACCAAGTCTCGTGGTGGTTAATTGCATCACCTTTGTCTTGTGTTGTGCATTTTTTTTTACCTCTTCTCAAAATCCCTGAACTGATGTTAATGAAATTTTGCTGAAACTGTCCTCTGCCTATGAAGAGCCAAACCTGTGAATTGTATGGTCTCCAACCAACTTTGGCCTGAGGGGCGGGGCCAAAAAGGGTCAGATTGACTTGGATTTCAAAAATCTTCTTCTCAACACCCAGATATGCTAGAATCAGATACCTTCAAGGATTGAAGCATCTTAAGGTGCTTTATCAAAATTGTGAGTTGCATGGCCCGAGGGTCTCACATTTCCCCTTGGGGAAGGAGTAAAGTTATAGCTTATATAGACGCATAACTTGTTTAAATTCCATTGTAAATATTTCAAACTTGGTAACAGTTATGAGTGAAGGATGACAGATTGATGGTTTGCCCTTTTTCATCCTGGCTGACCTGCAGGGGCTGATGGGCAGGGCCAAAAGGGGTTAAATTTCAAAAATATTCTTCTCAGCACCCAGGTATGGTAGATTCAAATGCTCTGTGTGAATGAAAGCATGGAAGGTGCTTTAACTACCAAAATTGGTCTGATATTTCTTACTTGAGAGAAAGTTAACTGTAATTTTCATAGAAAAATATCATTTTTGAGCACAACGGTGTTTATTTCACACAGCAAATAACTTTGTAAGATTTATTAGTAAAGGATGTCACTATTTCTTTTTCATGACACTTAAAAGCTACATATCCTGCAACCTTTATATCCAATATTGTTTATTACAGGTGACCGTCAAGGTCGCTAGGCCTCTTGTTTGACGTTAAAACAGATATAGATATAGAACTGTAGTTTGTTATGATAATATTATATAGATGAAGATTGAAATTGATGAACCTCAGTTCTTCCAGTGTTGTAGTTCTTTTATTTCTAAGAAATTTAACTACCATGCATACAAATTTTCTCAAACGCAGTAAGAACAATATTTAAGAACCTTGTCTCACAACAGAAGGAAGTTAATAAAAAGATTTTTAAAAAAAGGACAAACAGGGTGTGGGTGGAGTGGGGGTGGAGTCGGGGCGAGGTGAGGGTGGAGTGAGGGCGAGGTGAGGGTGGAGTGGGGGTGGAGTGAGGGCGGGCGGGGTGAGGGTGGAGTGAGGGCGAGATGAGGGTGGGATGAGGGCGGAGTAGGAGTGGAGTGCGGGGGGAATGGAGGTTGAGTGTGGGTGGACTGAGGGCGAGGTGGAGTGGAGGTGTAGTAATGGTGGGAGGAGAAGTAGGTTTTCTATGAAGAGTTTAACAATTTAAGACATGGTTTGTATTAAGAGTTTAACAGGTTTACATGGTTTGTGTTAAGAGTTTAACAGGTTTACATGGTTTTTGAATTAAGAGTTTAACAGGTTTACATGGTTTGTATTAAGAGTTTAACAGGTTTACATGGTTTGTATTAAGAGTTTAACAGGTTTACATGGTTTGTATTAAGAGTTTAACAGGTTTACATGATTTGTATTAAGAGTTTAACAGGTTTACATGGTTTTTGTATTAAGAGTTGAACAGGTTTCATGGTTTTTGTATTAAGAGTTTAACAGGTTTACATGGTTTGTGTTAAGAGTTTAACAGGTTTACATGGTTTTTGTATTAAGAGTTTAACAGGTTTACATGGTTTGTATTAAGAGGTTAACAGGTTTACATGGTTTGTATTAAGAGTTTAACAGGTTTACATGGTTTGTATTAAGAGTTTAACAGGTTTACATGGTTTTTGTATTAAGAGTTTAACAGGTTTACATAGTTTTGTATTAAGAGTTTAACAGGTTTACATGGTTTGTATTAAGAGTTTAACAGGTTTACATGGTTTTGTATTAAGAGTTTAACAGGTTTACATGGTTTTTGTATTAAGAGTTTAACAGGTTTACATTGTTTGTATTAAGAGTTTAACAGGTTTACATTGTTTGTATTAAGAGTTTAACAGGTTTACATGGTTTGTATTAATAGTTTAACAGGTTTACATGGTATGTATTAAGAGTTTAACAGGTTTACATGGTTTGTATTAAGAGTTTAACAGGTTTACATAGTTTTGTATTAAGAGTTGAACAGGTTTACATGGTTTTTGTATTAAGAGTTTAACAGGTTTACATGGTTTTTGTATTAAGAGTTTAACAGGTTTACATGGTTTTTGTATTAAGAGTTTAACAGGTTTACATAGTTTTGTATTAAGAGTTTAACAGGTTTACATGGTTTGTATTAAGAGTTTAACAGGTTTACATGGTTTTGTATTAATAGTTTAACAGGTTTACATGGTTTTTTTTTATTAAGAGTTTAACATGGTTTTGTATTTATAGTTTTAACAGTATTTATAGTTTAACAGGTTTACATGGTTTGTACTAATAGTTTAACAGGTTTACATGGTACAGGTTTACATTGGTTTGTATTAAGAGTTTAACAGGTTTACATGGTTTGTATTAAGAGTTTAACAGGTTTACATGGTTTTGCATTAGTAGTTTAACAGGTTTACATGGTGTTTGTATTAAGAGTTTAACAGGTTTACATGGTTTTTGTATTAAGAGTTTAACAGGTTTACATGGTTTTGTATTAAGAGTTTAACAGGTTTACATGGTTTGTATTAAGAGTTTAACAGGTTTACATGGTTTGTATTAAGAGTTTAACAGGTTTACATGGTTTTTGTATTAAGAGTTTAACAGGTTTACATGGTTTGTATTAAGAGTTTAACAGGTTTACATGGTTTGTATTATGAGTTTAACAGGTTTACATGGTTTTTGTATTATGAGTTGTACAGGTTTACATGGTTTGTATTAAGAGGTTAACAGGTTTACATGGTTTGTATTAAGAGTTTAACAGGTTTACATGGTTTTGTATTAAGAGTTTAACAGGTTTACATGGTTTGTATTAAGAGTTTAACAGGTTTACATGGTTTGTATTAAGAGTTTAACAGGTTTACATGGTTTGTATTAAGAGTTTAACAGGTTTACATGGTTTGTATTAAGAGTTTAACAGGTTTACATGGTTTGTATTAAGAGTTTAACAGGTCTACATGGTTTGTATTAAGAGGTTAACAGGTTTACATGGTTTGTATTAAGAGTTTAACAGGTTTACATGATTTTGTATTAAGAGTTTAACAGGTTTACATGGTTTGTATTAAGAGTTTAACAGGTTTACATGATTTTGTATTATGAGTTTAACAGGTTTACATGGTTTGTATTAAGAGTTTAACAGGTTTTCATGGTTTTTGTGTTAAGAGTTTAACAGGTTTACATGGTTTTTGTATTAAGAGTTTAACAGGTTTACATGGTTTTTGTATTAAGAGTTTAACAGGTTTACATGGTTTGTATTAAGAGTTTAACAGGTTTACATGGTTTTGTATTAATAGTTTAACAGGTTTACATGGTTTTGTATTAATAGTTTAACAGGTTTACATGGTTTTGTATTAAGAGTTTAACAGGTTTACATGGTTTGTATTAAGAGTTTAACAGGTTTACATGGTTTTTGTATTAAGAGTTTAACAGGTTTACATGGTTTGTATTAAGAGTTTAACAGGTTTACATGTTTTGTATTAAGAGTTTAACAGGTTTACATGGTTTTGTATTAAGAGGTTAACAGGTTTACATGGTTTGTATTAAGAGTTTAACAGGTTTACATGGTTTGTATTAAGAGTTTAACAGGTTTACATGGTTTTGTATTAAGTTTAACAGGTTTACATGGTTTTTGTATTAAGAGTTTAACAGGTTTACATGGTTTTTGTATTAAGAGTTTAACAGGTTTACATGGTTTGTATTAAGACGATGAACATTTTGTTTTTTTAGAAATGCAGGCCTATGAAGCCATACGATGGGCACTTGATCGTTTAAATAAGAAAAATGAGGAGCTAAACGGAGAATTCCTCAACAACAGTTACATCCCTGGGGTGGAACTTGGTAAGTTTACTTACTATTTGTCAATTTTATTTATCTAAAATGATTTCATAAATGAGATTTTACATGTATTTGATATTTTACAATTTCTATAATTTCTATCTCCCTACTGCTTCAACTTATGTACAGGTATGATGGTGAAAAACTACTGCGACATGGGCTCCAATGCAGTGAGTTATGCCCAGGATATCTACCCACAATTCCTGTCCGAGGCCCGCGACTGCACCAAGAGTTCAGATCACCTCATACTGGGTAAGTCCTTCATTTAGAGCAACAATTTTTTAACTGCCTCACTTTTGGCCTTTAGTTCAGCATTTGTCCTTGACCCTGCCTCAATTTGGCCTTTAGTTCAGCATTTGTCCTTGACACTGCCTCAATTTGGCCTTTAGTTCAGCATTTGTCCTTGACACTGCCTCACTCTTTGCCTTTAGTTCAGAATTTGTCCTTGACACTGCCTCACTTTTGACCTTTAGTTGAGTATTTGTCCTTGACCCTGCCTCAATTTTGACCTTTAGTTGAGTATTTGTCCTTGATCCTGCCTCACTTCTGACCTTTAATTGAGTATTCGTTCTTGTGAGTAAGGCTTTGCATCATTTCTTAAATAAAAGAGATAGAGAGAGAGTAAACAAACCCATGACACACAAATTTTACATTTTTAGTGAAATTAACAATCAGTAATGCCTTTTAGAGTTGTAAGTATTACTAATTTTGGGTTAACTGAATTACAAATGTAAAGAAAGCTGAACTAAGATGATGAGTTTGATGTGATCATGCCATAATAGCAAACAGTACAGTTTAATAAACCATGCTACAGTTCATGAAGAAAGTGCAATTTGAGTATGCAACTGTCTGAACAGACTCCTTTCCTGTGATAAATTATTATGTCACTTTTCTATTATTAAGGATTTATCTGATTTATCTTTGGAAAAAATTGTTTTGATTTATCTTCAGGATGAAGTTATGTTTAATATGTCTTCAAGATAAAGAAATTTTGATGTTTCTTAAGGATTAAGTAATTAGGTCATCTGACAGGATGGGTCATGATGACCTATAGCCATCAACTGCTTTGTCCATCGTTGACCGTTGTATACTGTGTGCTGTTGCTGTGTGTAAACTTTTGACATTTTAAACTTCTTCTCAAGTTCCACCAGTGGGATTGACCTCAAACTTGCATGAAATGATGCTTAGATAGTCCTGATCAAGTGAAATCCAAGATGGCTGCCATGCCTCCCTCTTGAAAACATATTTTAAACTTTTTCTCCAATTCCATTGGTGCAATTGAGCTTAGAATTGGTGGGAATGTTACGGAAAGACAGCCAACAAAGTGTTGTTATTTCTTGACCTTGTCAAAGTTTTCTAATGGCAGCCTGGGAGGCCTTTTTTATACACCGCCAGAGGCAGTCGTATATTGGCATCATTTTCTCCGTATGTCGGTCCATACATACGTACGTCCATTTCTTGTGAATGCAACTCCTCCTAAAATAATCATCAAATTTTCACGAAACTTGTTCAATGTCACTACTACAATGGGTAAATGTGCATGCCGGGGCGATTTTTCAGTTCTTTGATTTTTGTAAGATTTATGCCATTTTCAACTTTGTATCTGTAGCTTGCTTTAAGTGGAGTTTTGTGAACGCAACTCCTCCTAAACTAATTATCAGATTTTCATATAACTTGCTCAATGTCACTAATACAATGGTTCGATGTGCATGAAGGGACAATTTTACAGTTCATTGATTTTTGTAAGATCTAGGATATAGACATGTTAAAAGCGATAATTAAAAGGACCAATCTTGATCTTTATATTTTGTGGCAGCGTATATTGTGTCCACGGCACTCTTGTAATATGATTTCCTGTGCAACACCTACTTCAAAATTCTCCTCATGTTTTACCCATTGGATTGAGCTCCAACTTATCTGAAATGATCCTGAGATGGTCATGACCAAAAGGGGGAAAGGTAGCCATCTTGAAAAACATATTTAGTAAGATTTCATTCAAAGTAGAAAAAATAACCCTTCTCCCTGCTGAAAGTTTTCGTAGTCAGATGACCATTAAGGCCAGTGGGCCTCTTTTTTATTTATCTTCAGGATAAAGTAATTTTGATTTATCTTCAGGATAAAGTAATTTTGATTTATCTTCAGGATAAAGTAATTTTGATTTATCTTTAGGATTAAGAAATCTTGATTTATCAATTTTTCAGGATTAACTGGTGCTAGTTCCAGTGGTGACACCAAAGTGGTCAACTCATTTTCTGGTCAGCTTGACATTCCTCTGGTATCCTACATGGCCACAGCTGAGGAACTGACCACTAGGAACATGTATCCCAGCTTCATGCGGACAGTCTCGCCTGATGGACCCTTGATGGATGTAAGTTCTGGACTGATATCCTTTATTTTGTTGATTCTGTGGATGAATGAAATTCCTGCTGTGGAAATGAATCAGTTTTTTTGTTTACATCCTTTTGTCATTACAGGCCATCATTAAGGTTATAGGAGAGTTGGATTGGCAGTATGTTGTTGTCGTGTACACAGAGAATGCATACGGACGAGGTTCTCTGGAAGAAATTCGTCCACGCCTGGCTGCAGCTGGAATCTGCCTCACTTTGGCTGTACCTGCAAATCCATCAGATACATCTTCATCAACGATGGCAGCCATTTTGGATCGTGTGCTTGCAACTGAAACGGTTGGTGTGATTTATCTAGGAGGCTCAGAAGTTGGCCTCAGTTTACTGGAGGAAGGCGACACTCATCTAGGTGCAGGAAAGTTGCAGTGGATTTACACAGACAGCCTACCTTTGTCTATGAATTTTGGTGGGAAAAAATATCCTAGAGGTGTCATTGCTGTACTGTCTGGTTCTAGAAAAATTATCGAATTTGAGGATCATTGGGTACGAATTGATGTAAACAATCCGTCATCAGAAAATCCCTGGTTCCGAGACTGGTATATGAATGAAAACACATGTCAGTTACCCGGTAACACCAACCCAGCATTCAACTCCTTCCCATCATGCACCACTCAGACTGAGTCTGAGAGACGTAATTCATTTGTACAAGACCAGTTTGTTGAGCCGGCCGTCCATGCAGTGTATGCATACGCACATGCTTTAAAAACTGCCCATGCTGTCCTCTGTGGAGGAAATGCTGGATTGTGTCCACAGTTGGCAAGTCTATCTCAGGAGGATTTCTACAACAATTATCTTCGTTCTGTTAACTTTACCTACACCAAGAAGGAACGTGTGGAAAGTTTGGCCTCAGTGGGACTTGAACCATACAATGCCCCAGCACAACTGGCCTTCGATGCAAATGGTGACATCATCAATCCTAGTTATGACATCTACAACTTTAACGATTACCCAGATGGAGCTGCCTTCAAATTCCGAAAGGTGAGTGTTCTAAAGCAAATTCTAAAATTGGGATGGACATAAAATCAAACCTATTGAAATAATCTTCTAAAGTAAGAAACCAGAAATACAAAATTAGACAGGTATACAAATACTTCAACACAGCTCAAAATTAAACATGTGTACCATTAGAAGACAAGCTGTTTTTAGAGACCACTTGTGTTAAGAGGTCATCTCCAGACTACCTGTATTTAGAGACCACTTGTGTTAAGAGGTCATCTCCAGACTACCTGTATTTAGAGACCACTTGTGTTAAGAGGTCATCTCCAGACTACCTGTATGTAGAGACCACTTGTGTTAAGAGGTCATCTCCAGACTACCTGTATTTAGACACCACTTGTGTTAAGAGGTCATCTCCAGACTACCTGTACTTAGAGACCACTTGTGTTAAGAGGTCATCTCCAGACTACCGATATTTAGAGACCACTGTTAAGAGGCAGACTCCATAAGGAGACCACCTTCTTGTGTTAAGAGGCCATTGTAAATACAGAAGAAAATCTAAATTCCTTTTTGTCTTGCAGTAAAGAACCACTTTATAGACAGTTCTGTTCTGTAGAAAGTGTCCTCTTAATACCTCGACGACCCAGCCAGTGATGACAGCCAAGATACACAAAACACTATAGAAAGTTAACTTGTTTTCCTTTTTCCAGTTTTATTGCGACTCTATAATCAGGTTCAATGGTCGTTTTTATTTCTGTGATGCCCTGACGGCAGTGTTCAAAGAGAAGTTTACATTTTATCCCCTACTAGGTAAATGATGCCATGTGTCTGTGTTTATAGGCGTCCATGATAATATTGTGTACCAACAGTTTATGTTTATACCTGAATATGTTTTTGTGGTCATCAGCCTAAGTCAGAGGTCACAGATTAGCATATTGACCACTTTTAAAGTAAAAGCATGTGTTCAAGATCTCATGAACCTCTAAACAAATTTAATTTCTTGTTCACACCATAGCATAATACTGTCCCATTCTATACTAGAGTAGACTTTGGTGGTCATTGGTTAAAGTGAAAGGTCAAAAGTCGATATGTTGACCACTTTTGTGTACAAGATGTCTCATGAAAATCTAAACAGTTTACTTCATATTCACACCATAGCATCAAACTCTCACATTCAACTACAGGTTAGATTTCGGTGGTCAAAGGTCAAGGTTAAAGTTCAAAGGTTACTGTTGACTAATTTGAAGTATAAAGCTTTTGTGCAAGATATCTCCAGAATCACTCATTAGGTTTAGATCAGAAGAGCTAGACTGAAGGTGTTTATTCCCCAAAAGATTTGGGGGCGTATTGTGTTTGTGGTGTTTGTTTGTCTGTTGTTAGCATTACCTATAACTGTTGCATCTTAAGATGTAGGGCTTGCATGTGTGTTCCTTGTGACCTTACTGGTGCTACCAAAATGTTTTACCTTGAGTGTGACCTTTGACCTACATTTGAACATTACCACAATGAAAACAAGTATTTTCCCAAATTGTACATACATTTGATTAGCACATGCCTTGCGTAGTACTGTTATAATATACCACTTCGGGGCCTAGTGTTTCCTAAACACATCTTGCTTATTTTACATACAATTGTTTTTACTACATTGATGTTGATGTTAAGGTAATTGACATATAACCTATGTTCTATGAGTTCTACACAAATGGGGACGACGCAGATTTTGACAGAATTGTTTTTGTTTTCTTTGTTACAGTTGGGATCTTACCTGAACGGACGTCTGGAGATTGTAAAGAGTCGGATGAGGATGTATGACATGACTCGGGACCATGCTCTTCCATCTCTGCCTTCCTCCCCTTGTCCTGCCTCAGGTTGTGGCCCCTGTCTGGGTCACCTTGTTGATGCCAAATACCTGTATGTTCCTGGGGACATTGTCATCACTGGTATTTTCTCCATCCACGAGGAAGGTGACAAACCACTTTCATGTGGAGACTTTAATAATGGTATGGCATCTGGTATTCAATTCCTTGAGGGAATGGTGTACGCTCTCTCAAACATCAACAACCAGCCAGGACAGACATTATTGCGAGGTGTAAGTCTTGGTGCACTTGGTTTTGACGACTGTATGGATAAAGTAGTGGGAGGTCATTTTGTAACGCAAGTTCAAACAAAAACGCGCATGATAACAGACACTGCTGGCACTGCCCTTGACCCCCTTACTGTCGAGGCATACATGGGGGCAGAGGGCACTGATTTGACAGTCCCACTGGCAAAACTGATGGATATCATTAAACGACCTCTCCTGGGGTACAACGCAATGAGCGCTGAACTCCACGATAATGCTTATTATCTATACATGTCCTACAGTAACAGGCTTTATATGAAGGCTTTTGTCCTGCTTCTGAAACGCCTCGGCTGGCACTACGTACAGACTGTCCGTGCCATGTCCATGGAAGCCAGGAATGCTATTGAGGAATTCCGAATGATTGCTGCAGATCATGGAATATGTGTAGTATCCTCGTATGAGTTTGGAACAGATGGTGATGTTGAAGATATCTTGATGATGTTAGAAGGACAATCATCTGTAAATCCTGTCCTGGTTGTCTCCCCTACTGAAGATCTTCGTGAACTGTTACTGGAGGTCAGCAAACAGAACAAAACTGGTCACTTTGTCTTCATGGCACCTGTTGTGAGATCTGATGATGTGTTCAAGGGTGACGAGGCAGCAGCTGAGGGTTTGATTAGCCTAGATGTACAGCGACCAGACCTCTCTGCATTCCTAGGCTATCTGAGTGGTCTGCGTAGAGATAGTTATACCACAAATCCGTGGTTCAGTGAATGGTTTGAGAACATGCATGATTGCTCTTTAGATATAAACAACATGAGGGATTATACCTCAGCATGTGTTGCATCTGATGTGACTCTCGGTAAAAATTTCAAACTCAATGTGAACAGTTATGCTACAATCTATGGCGTTTATGCAATTGCATATGGTCTTCACTATACGCTTCAGTATTACTGTGGAGTGGGCTACACTGGCATCTGTGGAGACTATATGACGGCAGCAGACAAGGGCGAAAAACTTGTCGAAATGATTGAACAAATGTCGTTTACAGTTGACGGGTTGACCATACAATTTGTGGACGGTCAGGCAAATTTTCCGTTAGAGTTCTCCAACTACAGATCTGGATTTGTTCCGGTAAGCAAATTGAAACAGTTTATCTTTCCTTATAATTTTCAATTTTGTAGTTTAAATGATAATCAGGTGAGTACATCATAATAGATCATAAAAGGAAAAAAAGTAGTCATGAACATTCAGAGAAAAACTAATTGATCTGATCAAACTGGTAATGGCATTTTGTCAGTCTGTCCGTTCATCAGTGTGTCCATCGTCATAATTTTCTCAGAAGCATGATATCACAAAAACTACAGGAGGTAGAAGTATCAACATGAAACTTCATTGATAGATAGATCTTGATAAGGAGAAGTGCAGTGTACAAGAACTCTCTCTTGTATAATTAATTTAATTATTTTTCATACTTGCATAAAACCCTTTAATATCCAGTGCCTTCTGGCTACCATTTGTCATACATATTTTTATGCTTTGTAATACTGTATGAGGTTTTTTTATTACAAAGAAATCGGAAAAGAATATTTAAAAAAACTAGCTGTTTTGGAACTAGCATTTATTTGGAGATCATCCATCAGTTCCACCAATTCTCTTCCAAACTTGTTCAAACTTGGTTATTAAGCAACTCGCGTGAATGTGTTTCAGTATCCTTAATATATTCATCAGTGATTTCTCAGAGCTACTACCACACTGGGGACCATTATAGCCTGTGATCAGTGTAACCTTAGGTGAAGATCCAAGATTGTGTGATTTGACATTCTGTACCTGATGTAGTTAATATTACTGAGGAAGCTGAGGATTGGTTTGTTATGGTTGTGTCTTTTAGCAAGACACATGACCCAAATTGCCAGCATGTGATGGAACTCCTGTTCACTGTGTTCACTGAGGTAGCAACCAGTTGCTAACAAGGTGATGTACCCTGCCTCAAAATAACCCTGGTTGTTCATGAGATCATAAACAATATCTACTGTGTTACAATTTTGACAAATCTTCAGATTAATTAGTTTGTTTTAATTGGAACTTGTCAATCTTAAGCCATCATAATCTGATTTTTACAGGTTGGGACTTACAATGCAATGACAAACAGTTTTGTGATCCAGACCAGTCAGTTGAGTTTAGCCGGTGGTGTACAGCTCAGTTCTGTGATGCCTTACTGCAAGACTGTTTGTACACAGTGTCTGTACATGTTCGGAACACAAGATTACATGTACATTGACGGCGACCTTATCATTCCTGGAATTTTTGATGTCCATTATCCAGGAATGACAGACTTTTTGTGCGGAAGTATTCGATCAAAGAACGGCTTTCTTAACACGGAGGCTTTCGCATTTGCTCTCCAACAAGTAAACAGTGGAACTACAAGTGTTAAACTGAACAGTGTAAAACTTGGAGGATTGATTTTTGATGGGTGTATGAATCCGATCAGAGGTCATGTGATCGCATCTTCTGTTTACTACGGTTTGCTGCCACGGGAGAATGGAATGCCAAAGTACCCTCTTGACAGGTTGCTTGGGTGGTTGTCATATGATAGCAGTACGACTGTTAATATTGCTGAATCACTTGGACATTTCGGAATTCCTGTGGTCACTCCAGGCGCCACCACACCTGTTCTGGATAATAAGAAACGCTTTGATAAATTCTTTCGTACCATTCCTTCTGATGGAGTTACTACACTTGCCATGGCACAGGTTGCCAAGGAAATGGGATTTGAATATATAATCACTCTGAATGCTCCAGAGGAGGGAAGCCGTGATGCCATGAAACAGTTCAGAGAATATGCTCAGGACAACGGCATATGTATTGGAGCTTCGTATGAATTTGAGACCGACGGCCCCATGGCAACCTTAATTCAATACATCACCGAATCATCGAGTCGCGTGGTAGCAGTCTTCAGTGATGCTGATCGTTATGTGGAAGACCTTCTCATAGCCAAAAACAATAACCCTCAGGCTGCAAACATTGTATTTATGGCCAATCGACCATGGCAGAACCCTGTTATCAGCACAACATCCCTTTTCTATGCTACTAACACCTTAACCTTCGGCTACAAGTTCCCACCTCTGCCAGAGTTGCGGAACTATCTATCTCAGAAATACCCAATCTCATACACTGATAATCCATGGTTCAATGAATTCTATCAAAAGTATTTCTTGTGTAATTTGGACGGGAACTGGATGTACGCACAGAACTGTGGGACATCATCCATTGTTACAAGTAAGTACAAAGTCCAAATTACTTTTATATGTACCGTTAACATTGTGGGGTTGTGTAAGCCTTATGTTTTACATGATTTAAGTTACACTGCAGACACGTACCGATGGATCAGAATCAGATGTAATGGAAATCTTTTGTTTGTACAGATGACTTCATTGAAGACTATGCAACACTTCCCACAATTCATGCTGTTTATTCAATGGCGGAGGGTGTTCACCGAACCCTAATGGAAAAATGTGGTGTCAACTACAGTGGTATCTGTTCGAGGTAAGCTAACACTAGTAAAGTTTTTACATTTTATACATATAGAATGTACTAGTAAAGTTTTTACATTTTATACATATAGAATGTACTGTAGAATGTACTAGTAAAGTTTTTACATTTATACATATAGAATGTACTGTAGAATGTACTAGTAAAGTTTTTACATTTTATACATATAGAATGTACTAGTAAAGTTTTTACATTTTATACATATAGAATGTACTAGTAAATTTTTTACATTTATACATATAGAATGTACTGTAGAATGTACTAGTAAAGTTTTTACATTTTATACATATAGAATGTACTAGTAAAGTTTTTACATTTTATACATATAGAATGTACTGTAGAATGTACTAGTAAAGTTTTTACATTTTATACATATAGAATGTACTAGTAAAGTTTTTACATTTTATACATATAGAATGTACCAGTAAAGTTTTTACATTTTATACATATAGAATGTACTGTAGAATGTACTAGTAAAGTTTTTACATTTTATACATATAGAATGTACTAGTAAAGTTTTTACATTTTATACATATAGAATGTACCAGTAAAGTTTTTACATTTTATACATATAGAATGTACTGTAGAATGTACCAGTAAAGTTTTTACATTTTATACATATAGAATGTACTGTAGAATGTACTAGTAAAGTTTTTACATTTTATACATATAGAATGTACTAGTAAAGTTTTTACATTTTATACATATAGAATGTACCAGTAAAGTTTTTACATTTTATACATATAGAATGTACTGTAGAATGTACCAATAAAGTTTTTACATTTTATACATATAGAATGTACTGTAGAATGTACTAGTAAATTTTTACATTTTATACATATAGAATGTACTGTAGAATGTACTAGTAAAGTTTTTACATTTTATACATATAGAATATACTAGTAAAGTTTTTACATTTTATACATATAGAATGTACTAGTAAAGTTTTCACATTTTATACATATAGAATGTACTGTAGAATGTACTAGTAAGGTTTTTACATTTATACATATAGAATGTACTAGTGAAGTTTTTACATTTTATACATATAGAATGTACTGTAGAATGTACTAGTAAAGTTTTTACATTTTATACATATAGAATGTACCAGTAAAGTTTTTACATTTTATACATATAGAATGTACTGTAGAATGTACCAGTAAAGTTTTTACATTTTATACATATAGAATATACTAGTAAAGTTTTTACATTTTATACATATAGAATGTACCAGTAAAGTTTTTACATTTTATACATATAGAATGTACTAGTAAAGTTTTTACATTTATACATATAGAATGTACTGTAGAATGTACTAGTAAAGTTTTTACATTTTATACATATAGAATGTACTGTAGAATGTACTAGTAAAGTTTTTACATTTTATACATATAGAATGTACTAGTAAAGTTTTTACATTTTATACCTATAGAATGTACTAGTAAAGTTTTTACATTTATACATATAGAATGTACTGTAGAATGTACTAGTAAAGTTTTTACATTTTATACATATAGAATGTACTAGTAAAGTTTTTACATTTTATACATATAGAATGTACCAGTAAAGTTTTTACATTTTATACATATAAAATGTACTAGTAAAGTTTTTACATTTTATACATATAGAATGTACTAGTAAAGTTTTTACATTTTATACATATAGAATGTACTGTAGAATGTACTAGTAAAGTTTTTACATTTATACATATAGAATGTACTGTAGAATGTACTAGTAAAGTTTTTACATTTTATACATATAGAATGTACTAGTAAAGTTTTTACATTTTATACATATAGAATGTACTAGCAAAGTTTTTACATTTATACATATAGAATGTACTGTAGAATGTACTAGTAAAGTTTTTACATTTTATACATATAGAATGTACTGTAGAATGTACTAGTAAAGTTTTTACATTTTATACATGTAGAATGTACTAGTAAAGTTTTGACATTTTATGTAGAATGTACTCCTGTATTGACCCTGTAGTACCAGAGTCAATATGTTGGGTGTTAGTCTTTAGTCTGATATTCGAGAGTATGCAGAGAGATCAATCAATAGAGGAAATCAGGCAAATTGTAAATAAAACAGCATCAGGGTGCATCTTGCTTACGGTAAAACTGGTCGATAGACGTGGAACAACTTAAAGCTCGCATAGGGCAAAACTGGTCGATAGACGTGGAACAACTTAAAGCTTGCATAGGGCAAAACTGGTTGATAGACGTGGAACAACTTAAAGCTCACATAGGGAGAAACTGGTCGATAGACGTGGACCAACTTAAAGCTCGCATCGGGAGAAACTGGTCGATAGACGTGGAACAACTTAAAGCTTGCATAGGGCAAAACTGGTCGATAGACGTGGAACAACTTAAAGCTTGCATAGGGCAAAACTGGTCGATAGACGTGGAACAACTTAAAACTTGCATAGGGCAAATCTGGTCGATAGACGTGGAACAAATTAAAGCTCGCATAGGGCAAAACTGGTCGATAGACGTGGAACAACTTAAAGCTCGCATAGGGAGAAACTGGTCGATAGACGTGGACCAACTTAAAGCTCGCATCGGGAGAAACTGGTCGATAGACGTGGAACAACTTAAAGCTCGCATAGGGCAAAACTGGTCGATAGACGTGGAACAACTTAAAGCTTGCATAGGGTGAAACTGGTCGATAGACGTGGAACAACTTAAAGCTTGCATAGGGCAAAACTGGTCGATAGACATGGAACAACTTAAAGCTCGCATAGGGCAAAACTGGTCGATAGACGTGGAACAACTTAAAGCTCGCATAGGGCAAAACTGGTCGATAGACGTGGAACAACTTAAAGCTTGTATATGGAGAAACTGGTCGATAGACGTGGAACAACTTAAAGCTCGCGTAGGGCAAAACTGGTCGATAGACATGGAACAACTTAAAGCTCGCATAGGGAGAAACTGGTTGATAGACGTGGAACAACTTAAAGCTCGCATAGGGAGAAACTGGTCGATAGACGTGGAACAACTTAAAGCTTGTATATGGAGAAACTGGTCGATAGACGTGGAACAACTTAAAGCTCGCATAGGGCAAAACTGGTCGATAGACGTGGAACAACTTAAAGCTCGCATAGGGAGAAACTGGTTGATAGACGTGGAACAACTTAAAGCTCGCATAGGGCAAAACTGGTCGATAGACGTGGAACAACTTAAAGCTCGCATAGGGAGAAACTGGTCGATAGACGTGGAACAACTTAAAGCTCGCATAGGGAGAAACTGGTCGATAGACGTGGAACAACTTAAAGCTTGTATATGGAGAAACTGGTCGATAGACGTGGAACAACTTAAAGCTCGCATAGGGCAAAACTGGTCGATAGACGTGGAACAACTTAAAGCTCGCAAAGGGAGAAACTGGTTGATAGACGTGGAACAACTTAAAGCTCGCATAGGGCAAAACTGGTCGATAGACGTGGAACAACTTAAAGCTCGCATAGGGAGAAACTGGTCAATATACAAGGAACAAAGTAAAACAACCTAAAGCTCGCATAGGGCGAAACTGGGACATTTTATTTGTAATCTTCATGAATGTCATAAGTGTTACCATATCCCTCTTTTTAATCGTGACCAAAAGGGCAATTTGAAATTCTTCTATTTCTCAAAATAACCCCAAAATTCCCCTTCATCTTCATTAGTAGTATTCCTCAAATTCAAATTTGATCTATTATTTCAAATTCTGTTTCTTCAACCACCTATAAAATGAAAAGTCATTTACGATGCTATAAATGTGATTTGTGACATTGGGTGTATGACTTAACATTAAAACTATGTCATATTAAAATAATTCAGCAAATGTCTACATTTTTCTTGATGTATTGAATTATTTTGAACATTATTATATTAGTGTGATGTTTCAATATGATCGAGTGATAACAATCGTTGTTTTGTTTTAGTTTCCTGTCTGATGTCAACACATTCCCTACAGTGATGAAACACATGGACGCCATGAACTTTACAGATATTCTAGGTGACCTATTCCACTTCGTAAAACGTGAGAGTAACAGAGGCATAATGATTGACAGGATTGAGGCGGGCACTAGTTTGTCGGTAAAGAAATTCATGATATATATCTATTCAGACATAATTTGACAAAGCTTCTGTTGACTGATATGTTTATGCATACAAAAGTTTTCTTAAAAGACTTTCTGCACAAGCTTCGATGGATGCAAGTTGGTTGCATTTTAAAAAATCCTTTGTTAATGATAATGAAGAAAAATGATTCAAACGGAATATATTGTTGATTTAGATGGCAGTACCTCCATATGATATTTCAGAATTGCTTTCAGTATACCTAAGGAAGCGAATTTGTTGGTATAGTGACTGGCTGTATGTAGTGTACGTATGTTCAAATGGAAAAAAAAAAGATAAGAATTGGAAGAACTACAGATTTATCGACACAGTGTTGTGAAATATTAAAGTTGGTTTAAATACAAGTTATTATCCCATCTGGGCGAGGGGATATAATGTTCAGGTTGTACGTATGTATATTCACTTTTTGCCATCACTTTGTTTCTCAATGGATTTTTATCATACTTGACATGTTGGTCACAAAGCCATGTATCCGTGTTTCAGTGTGCCAGACATCAAGGTCATCGTTACGGTTTATAAAAAATGTTTCTCATCACTCTAGCAACTTCATTTTTCTACCGATTTTGATCAAACTTGATATATTGGTCAAGTATCGTCCTACCTTAAACTAGTTTTAGGATCAGCAAGCCATTATACATTGGAGTGATTTGTATGGTTGCAATACCTTGTTTATGATATAATAGATTATTCAGATCAGGGCACTTTTGGTTTTTTGAAGGTTATGTATCCGTACAATTTCTATTTTTTTTAACTGCGGAATAATTGAACTTTTAGTATTTTATTGATTGTTAATGGTTTGGTTCTAACTCTTGTTTTCCAGGTGGGAAGCTTTGCCAGCGGTGCTGGTTTAGCCCTACAAGATCGCAATGATTTGGCCAGTAAATATACTAGTACACCGGCAACTTGCATTGGGGATTGTGCTCAGTGTTACGTACTCGGCGACGGTTCAGAGAAATTCACATTTTACAGCGGAAACATCATGTTTGTTGGTGGGTTTTAGAGTCATTAGACTACACCAATAATTATTACATGAAATAATGAGGATACACTTAAACATGTCACTCAACACATAGAAAAATGGTGATTATAGACAGGTAGCCACTACATAGAGGTGATGTTATATACAGATGTCACTATATAGAGGTGATGTTTATAGACAGGTGGTCATTATATAGAGGTGTCCTTTATAGACAGATTGTCATTATATAGAGGTGTCCTTTATAGACAGATTGTCATTATATAGAGGTGTCCTTTATAGACAGATTGTCATTATATAGAGGTGTCCTTTATAGACAGATTGTCATTATATAGATGTGTCCTTTATAGACAGATTGTCATTATATAGATGTGTCCTTTATAGACAGATTGTCATTATATAGAGGTGTCCTTTATAGACAGATTGTCATTATATAGAGGTGTCCTTTATAGATTATATAGAGGTGTCCTTTATAGATTGTCATTATATAGAGGTGTCCTTTATAGACAGATTGTCATTATATAGAGGTGTCCTTTATAGACAGATTGTCATTATATAGAGGTGTCCTTTATAGACAGATTGTCATTATATAGAGGTGTCCTTTATAGACAGATTGTCATTATATAGAGGTGTCCTTTATAGACAGATTGTCATTATAATGAGCCATTTGAACAGGTTTGACTCTTAATGATGATAATGTTTGAAATGTTTTGATCAGGTTTTGAGATTTGAGTACATTAAATAAGAGTTGTGTTTTTTTTTTTTTTAAGGTTTGTTTGATATCCATAAAAAAGGACAAACACCATACAGCTGTGGTGAAATCAATGATGAACATGGATTCCAGCTTCTTGAAGCCTTCCACTTTGCTTTGGAATATGCTAACAACCGTTCTGGTATATTCCGTAGTGTTTGGCCAGAAGTTACGTTTGGTGGTGTTGCCTTGGATGTTTGTCAAAATCCAACGCGCGCTGGTAACATGATTGCCAACATCCACTCTGGAACATTGAAGCTGACAACCATTTCACAGAGTCAGAATATCACTATTAATCCTGATAATATTGACGTCTACATTGGCCCGTTTGACAGTGAGTCAACCATCCGTGTAGCAGATATTGTAAATCCACTCGGGATCCCACAGATCAGCTATGCTGCCACAAGCCAGGAACTAATGGATCCATACAAATATCGTTACTTTTTACGTACTGTACCAGCAGATGACAAGCAGGCAAGGGCCATCATTTCTTACCTCAAGAGGTTTGACCTGAATAATGTCCAGGTTATCAACTCCTATGACAGTATTGGACGTGACGGCTTGGAAGAATTTGCACGTCTAGCAAGGCTTAATCGAATCTGTATATCACAGAACATTACCACTGGTGTCAGTGGTTCAATTTCCATTATTGAAGCACAGACTGCACTGAATAGACTTTTCAGTTACCGAGATGCCACAGTTGTTATTTTGTTTGTAGAGGACCCAGAGACTCTGTTACAAACAATCGAGAACAGAGATGATATTAGAAATAACTTCACTTTTATTGGTACGGACAAACTAGGCTTTAATCATGAAAAATGGAACAATGCACGTAAACTGATGAATGGACGCCGTGCAGTCACTTTCGATATTGAGACGGCAGATGTGCCAGAACTTGACAAGTACCTTGAATATAAGACACCTGAAAATTATTTTTTCAATCCATGGTTTGATGAATATTACCAAGAACTGTTTCAGTGTAACTTTGACGGAAGAAATACAAAGTACTCAAAGCCATGTCCAACCTATCTTCTTGGTATTCCCCGTGCTGAAAAGTACATTCAGGACCCGTACGCCTTGTATGTGATCAATGCAGTGTTTTCTGCTGTATTTGGTGTAGACAAGGCATTACGTGAGATCTGTCCAGGTAATAGCATTGGTGTTTGTAATCTGTTCCGAACCAGCGGTGAGAGACGGCAGCGAATAATGACCGGTATCCTAGCCACCAATTTCATTGATGCCACGAATCAGCCATTTTACTACGAGGAAGGTGGTGACAGTAGTCGAGGTTACCATATTTGGGAGCCCCTTCCTAGTGCAGAGGACAACACACAGTATTATCTTGAGGATGTAAGTAGTGACTGTATTATGTTGACTGAATTACAAATACAAACTGCCTCGTCATTGAACCTTTCTGGGCACCATTCAGTCCAAGCATTATTCAACCCCCTGGGACCCATTCAACCCAAGCATTATTCAACCCCCTGGGACCCATTCAACCCAAGCATTATTCAACCCCCTGGGACCCATTCAGCAAAGCATTATTCAACCCCCTGGGACCCATTCAACCCAAGTATTATTCAACCCCCTGGGACCCATTCAACCCAAGCATTATTCAACCCCCTGGGACCCATTCAACCCAAGCATTATTCATCCTTTGGCCGGGTTGCACATAGTGCAAATCCGGGTTATAGTATGGTGAATGTTGGTCGGGCGGGGAAAAGGGGTACCAATTTTGTAGAATCACTCCTCCTAGAGTTTTTGACGTAGAAGCTTGTAACTTTGTAGGAAGTTTATATATATGTTGAAGATGTGTACCTCCTTTTATGGATTCATTTTGGTCGTTTTTTCTTGATACTCAACAAATGAAACACCCTTAACTGTCTTATAAATACCATATAACATTGCACTCATCCTGCAACCTGGCCAATTGTGGCTTGGCCCCATTTTTCAATCCTTTGAGGGCCCAATTTAAGCCCAGTCCCATTCAACTATTAATTAAAACATGTCCCCCCCCCCATTAACTGCAAACTCTCCTCCTCCTTCCTCAACTATTCACATCTAACATCTCCACAGAATTTTCTTCGAATTATTAAAAAAAAAATGTTTCTTAATGATAAATGTTGAATATTTGTAGGCATTTTCTTGAAATTGATAAACTGATTGAAATTGTCAAATTTCACTTTCCGTATATTTATCCACAGAATCAAGTGTTGATGAAATTGTACCAAGAAAAAGATAGCTTGACACAAAGATACATCACTGTATCACTGTCATGATCAAGTTTCTTTTCATTTTTTGCAATCACTTTAGTAACTTCTTTTTCAAATCGATTTGAATCAGACTTCACACACTTAAAAGGATGCTATAGTATGGCAGACAAGGTTGAGATTCAGAGTTGTAGTGTCAAAGACACATTTTCTATTTTTAGATAGAAAATTTTTTTTTGTCAGCTTCATTCCTGCAAGAAATTTGATGGAATTTTCGTGCACTTATAGAGCAAGAATCAGTCAAACTTCGATGTTGTGAAGTTAAAGGGACTTACAAAAATACTTCAATACACCAAGACTTTAATCATTTGTTGTGTGTTATATAAACATTTTCATGTGTATGGCTATATATATAGTTGATGACACGATATTATTACCTGAACAAACACAACAAATACCAAATGCAAGTGTAAATGAAAAGGTGTATTTTCATCTTAAAACAAAACATTTTCATTCTTCAAAAAATAAAGACATAACTTTAATTAGCAATCAAATAGTAATCAACAATGCATGTTTTACATTCCTACAGGATATGTATTCTATGGATTGCTTTTACGTGATAAATGCGGCACAGCATTAAAGTGTTAGAATATTTAAGACTGATATATCAACGTGATAGGCACTAATGTAGTTAAAACAAAGAAAATTAATATAATTTATTCTGTCCAGAAACGACAGCACTAACATCACACATCATCTGTCGTAGAATTAAAAGAGTGCTTGCCGATGTTCTGACGACAGCTAGTCTGAATCAGTAGGAGAACACATGGCTAGTCTGAATCAGTAGGAGAACACATGGCTAGTCTGAATCAGTAGGAGAACACATGGCTAGTCTGAATCAATAGGAGAACACATGGTTAACAGAAAATCACTGTGTTGATCCTGTTTTTATTCTTGAAACTGAAAGGTGACTTTTGAGTATGAGTAAAATCAGCATACAGGTGATAGGATTTCCTTCGATTGTTTTCAAAGTGCTGTAAATTAGACCTAACTAAATGCCATTACCACAGTGGCGGCGGTGAACATCACATGACGTCCCATAATCTTTGATTTATGACTTGTAAGTAAGCAATTAAACTTCAAACTGTCAGTCATTAATCAATTCTCAAATATGATTGTTTTAGGTCGGTGCTTATAATGACACACACTACCTGAAGATTGATGCTCGTTATGATGTTAATTGGCAGTCAACTTGTGACCGCCCTGGCTCCTGTTCCTGTGTGTTCCCCGAATACCAACCATCTCGGTACATGAAGAATGACACAGACTGGGGTCTGTATATAGCCTACGTGTCAGATATCCATGATCGTGACCCCTATAATCCTTATGCCTGCGGATCGATCGACACTGTAGGTGACTTCCAGAACATGATGGCTTTCTTTTATGCTCTCAACCTCGTCAACAGTGATACAAATCTTCCAGCTACATTAAAACTTGGAGGAATAGCATTTGATACCTGTTCTTCATCAAATCGTATTGGACAGGATATTTACAGCCTTCTGAGTGGTGAAGGAATTTGTACACAAAACACTGGTCAGGTGATCCCTCCTTCTAATCTAGTGGCGTATATTGCAAAAGGAAGTGAGAATGCGATCCGAGTAAGTGGAATTCTGTCCCCACTTAAATACACCACCCTAAGTCAAAGTGCGACATCCGTGGCGCTTAGCAACAAAGATTTCCATGAGTACTTTCTGCGTACCGTGCCTCCAGATAATGTCCAGGCTATTGTCATCGCTAAAGTCCTTCAAACGTTTGGATGGGATTATGTATCGGCAGTGTACACTGATGATGCTTACGGTAATGCAGCCATTAAAACACTCATCAGTAACACAGAAAATAGTTCTCCTCGCATCTGTGCCTCACAAACCATATCCATGGCCATGGACGCAACACTGGATGATGCCAAAGCCATTGTAGATAGCCTTAACCAGAGAGTTGGTGCCAGAGTTGTTGTGCTGTTCGTATCGGACGTTCATGCACGTCTTCTTTTACAAGCCACCACAGAGCGTGGCCTCACACACAGATTCATCTGGCTGGGTAGTGACACTTGGGCAAACAGCGACTATATTGTCAGTGGATATGAGGATGCCGCTGCTGGTGCCATCACTATCCAGATCAGATCAGAGGTAGTGGAAGGTTTCAAGAAATTTCTCCGAAGCTTTGATTACACTAATAGCATGAACCTGCCTCGTGACTGGTTTGAGGACCTCTATCAGACTCTTCATCAGTGTCGTATCCTCAACAGTGTTGTTCAGAAAGTGTATTCTAACATCTGCTCCGGTGATGAGAGGATCACGGATGCCATGATCCCCAATGACCCGTACACACTGCACACTATCATTTCTGTGTTCATGGTTGCAAATGGTCTTAATTCCATTGAGGAATGCAAGAGAACAAGCCTCAGTATTTCTGCCTGTCTGTCTCTTCAGCAGAATTCACGAGATCTCATTTACAACAGTATTGCGGAGGCCCAATACACTGTTCTTCCTGATGACCTGGGTGCCAAGTCATTCAACTTCAGGTACACTGAAGATGGCTACGGAGATGTGGGTTACAACATTTTGAACTTCCGACGTGACCTGACATCAGGAAACTATGGATACACTCAGGTAGGTGGGAAAGTTTACCGCACATACACTCAGGTAGGTGGGATAGTTTACCACACATACACTCAGGTAGGTAGGATAGTTTACCACACATACCAAAGACAATGTATATAGAAAAAATTTCTGTCACAGTCTAACTTTTCTGAGTCAGCTTTAAAGTCCAGTCTCTGTAAAGTGAGAAAATGTGCTTACAGTTTAACTTCACTCATTTCGGTCTTGTAAAAGGTGGACTGAAGGTTCATTTTAAAGCTGAAATATGGTAATTAATGTATGTTTGGGCAAATATAACAGTGTGAAAGTGAACATGTGAGGACAACGTATGTTGTATCTGAAAGTGAAAATCCAGGTCTCTAGCGTTTTTATCTATTAACATAAACAAGAAGTTACAAATATACATTTATATCACTAAATATCAATTATGGTATAGCTTGTGGAATTTCGTATCTTAATATTCAAGGTCAAGGTGAAGCAAAATCATGATACAGCGAATATTTTTTCCTGTCGATCAAATTCACAGAAAATTGCTGATAGAGCTGAACAGCCATTTGTGAACAGAATTCTGAATTCTGAAGTTCTCTTTTAAAGTCACGAGATTGACTCCTATAGATCCAAAATTTTACATATGGATATCAGTCTACACTGACACCAACACTTTTCTCGTTTCCAGATTGGAACTTACCGTAACGACCTGTCCCTGAATCGAGCCCTATACCAAGGATTCAGCTTCGTGGAATCCCGTACCATCCCTCTGTCCATGTGCCCAGTGGGAAGTAACTGCCCATGTCTGAACAGTGATGGCACCCGTTCTAGCTACCAACGACAGGGTGTGGCCGGACTTTCCTTCTACCGCCTTGACGACGGTAGCTATGTCGATACTCAGACAGGCGAGGTGATACAGGTGGAAAACATCCCACTATTAGCAGACAGATTTGCAGATATTTGGGGTATAATTGTTGCGACATTGGCAGCAATTGGAATGTTTGCATCATTGTGCATGTTTGTATACCTGCTAGTGATGTACCCAGTGCGTGGAGGAACCTCCATCCTTGGGTTTATGCTGGTGTTTGGAAATATTCTGTTGTTTGCTTTGGTGTTTGCCTTCATTGTGCATGCCACACGAGAAGTCTGCGGCCTACGTCGGTTCTGTCTTGGATTCTGTTACTCAATATGTTACAGTGCATTATTTGTGAAGATTGTAGACTCCTGGAGGTCGCGAAGCAAAGAGGAACTGTATGAGGTGAAATACGAGAAACTGGGACGGCCACTTGGATTGTTTTTCTGTGCCGTGCTCTTTATACTTGTACAAGTAATAATTAATACAGAGTGGCTCATTCTTGAGCCACCAGGTGTTACCACAGTTCTGTATAACAACATGCTGTGGCCACGTTGTACACCTGATGATTTCTACGACCAAGGCCTCGTCCTGTCGTTAGTCTACATCATGTTCCTTGTGGTCCTCTGTGTTCTTTATGGCATGTGCGCTTGGTCCAACCCCAAAAACCACCATGAGGCTCGTTGGGTGCTGGGAATTGTGCTGCTGGGGATCCCAGTATGGGTAGTATTCTGTGTGATAGCGGTTCTGGGAGAATATAAGATGCGAGATGCGGCCATTGCTATTGGACTCCTACTCAACGCCACCATCATGCTGCTCCTGGGGCCAATGAGGAAACTCTATCTCCTGACTAAATTTGAGGAGCAAGTTGAGGAGGAGGAACGCAAATCTGCACTCGGCAGCATGAAAGGAGGTCAGTTACATTAACGCAAAATTTTATCACATAGTTTGCCTGTTATCCAGCATATGTCTCTAGTGTAATATACCTTGTAGTGTTTTTCATTGGCTGTGCCAGTCAAACATTAATAATGGACAGTGACATTACATCATGAGTTCAATGTGACACAAGAAAAAGGCTGCCTCCATTTGATTTTGTCCTCTGTGTTTTGGCTTTAAAACTTGTCAACTTGTAACTTTTCTTAATTAAGTGATAAAACGACCTGAAATTTGCTTTCCTTTTGCTTGTTATGGTATAAAAACACATCTTGAAGTTGAGATATTTAGGATGTGGCTTTGTTACATTTAGGATGTGGCTTTGTGACATTTAGGATGTGACTATGAGACATTTAGGATGTGACTATGATACATTTAGGATGTGACTGAGACATTTAGGATGTGACTATGATACATTTAGGATATGACTGAGACATTTAGGATGTGACTATGAGATATTCAGGATGTGGCTTTGTGACATTTAGGATGTGACTATGAGACATTTAGGATGTGACTATGAGACATTTAGGATGTGACTATGAGACATTCAGGATGTGACTATGTGACTATTATACATTCAGGATGTGACTATGATATTTAGGATGTGACTATGAGACATTTAGGATGTGACTTTGAGACATTTAGGATGTGGTTTCATAACATTTAGGATGTGACTATGAGACATTTAGGATGTGAATATTAGACATTTAGGATGTGGCTTTGTGACATTTAGGATGTGACTATGAGATGTTTAGGATGTGACTAAGATACATTTAGGATGTGACTGAGACATTTAGGATGTGACTATCAGACATTTAGGATGTGACTGAGACATTTAGGATGTGACTATGAGATATTCAGGATGTGGCTTTGTGACATTTAGGATGTGACTATGAGACATTTAGGATGTGACTATGAGACATTTAGGATGTGACTATGAGACATTCAGGATGTGACTATGTGACTATTATACATTCAGGATGTGACTATGATATTTAGGATGTGACTATGAGACATTTAGGATGTGACTTTGAGACATTTAGGATGTGGTTTCATAACATTTAGGATGTGACTATGAGACATTTAGGATGTGAATATTAGACATTTAGGATGTGGCTTTGTGACATTTAGGATGTGACTATGAGATGTTTAGGATGTGACTAAGATACATTTAGGATGTGACTGAGACATTTAGGATGTGACTATCAGACATTTAGGATGTGACTATGAGACATTTAGGATGTGAATATTAGACATTTAGGATGTGGCTTTGTGACATTTAGGATGTGACTATGAGATGTTTAGGATGTGACTAAGATACATTTAGGATGTGACTGAGACATTTAGGATGTGACTATGAGACATTTAGGATGTGACTGAGACATTTAGGATGTGACTATGAGACATTCAGGATGTGACTATGATACATTCAGGATGTGACTATGATATTTAGGATGTGACTATGAGACATTTAGGATGTGACTATGAGACATTTAGGATGTAGTTTCATGACATTTAGGATGTGACTATGAGACATTTAGGATGTGGCTTTGTGACATTTAGGATGTGACTATGAGATGTTTAGGATGTGACTAAGATACATTTAGGATGTGACTGAGACATTTAGGATGTGACTATGAGACATTTAGGATGTGACTATGAGACATTTAGGATGTGAATGTTAGACATTTAGGATGTGGCTTTGTGACATTTAGGATGTGACTATGAGATGTTTAGGATGTGACTAAGATACATTTAGGATGTGACTGAGACATTTAGGATGTGACTATGAGACATTTAGGATGTGACTATGAGACATTCAGGATGTGACTATGATACATTCAGGATGTGACTATGATATTTAGGATGTGACTATGAGACATTTAGGATGTGACTAAGATACATTTAGGATGTGACTGAGACGTTTAGGAAATATTTGTGTATCTAGAAAGTTTTCCTATTAGGTGTCAGAACAAAACTTGTTGTTCTGGGTTACATGTCGTCTTGGTCATTGTGATTCTGTTTCTGTCCTGCAGCTGAGTATGCCACCATGTACGGCCAACAGTATGACAACACCCCTCGCCTACACGACCCACAAGAGTCAATGCGAGGCAGTGCATTGGGGAATGACCCTTACGTAATACACCCAAACAGCCAGTGAGGATTTTAGTGTAAGTACAAATAAGCATGGTCAGACACATAAGTCAAGATACACTTGGAACAACTTTATAGGTCTTTCTCAAATTTTATTTATAGATTCCTTTAAGTCACTAGATGTGCCTATTTGAGTTTGGGACTGATCAGAATAACAAAATGGCCTACAGGCAGCCATCTTGGATTTCGTCGTGTAAAGATTGTTATTGCTATCTCTTAAAAAGTTGTGAATGGATATTTCAAAGTCCATATTATATTCCGTTTGGTCTCCTTGTGCTTGTTTGATTTTGGGACTAATCACAAGAAACAAAATGGTTTTTTTGGATTTGGCAGGTAAAGATTATCTTCACTATTTCTGTAAAGAGATAAGAAGGGAAAAGATCCAACTTTCAAAGAGCAGATAGAGATTAAACAATGGTGGGCACCGAGATCCCTCTGGGATCTCTTTTATTGGTAGAAAATTGTAGTTTTAAAAATCATGACATTATATGTAAGGAAAATAAGAGGCAGCATTACATTAAGAGGAAACAATAATCAATATCATATTGGGAAGAAGTGACAATAAGCAGAATCTTATGATAAAATAACAAAAAGCAACATTACATTAACAGAAATTGTCAGTAAAAACCTGCTTGGTCAGATTGGCTGAAACCCTAAGTTGATTCTTTGACCCAGAAGAATTAATTCGGCCTCTGAAGTTTTATGTTATTTTGTCATGTAAAGGGTATATTTGTGATTCTTGTGTTCACAGAACCCCTTGATCACATGTCAGGAAATCCTGCAATCTCATTGGATCAGACAAGCCACACCTGATGAACTGGGAGGGATTTTGAAACACAGAACTGCAGGCGGTGAATCTCCTTACTGTGATAATTACAACGATGAACAATGTTACAAGTTATTGGATTATTTCCTTATACATGAAGAAACGGTATAACAGAAAGAAATATTTTAATGTGATTGATGTTCATCATGCTTCCATTATATTTAAGGATTTATGTTACCCTACTGATTCTCTGATCTCAAAAGAGTTCCACAGGAAGGTCACGTAAAATTATGTTGATATTTTATTTGATAATCACGATCTTGTCAATATCAAGCCAAATTTTTTTTCTTATAAATAATACTGATCCTTTTTCTTCAAAGAGATATAACACTTATTGAGAAAAACAGTAGAGTAACATACAACCTTAATATTGTAAGAGAGACATACATTATTTTCTGGAGTGTCTGTAGTCTTCTGATGAATGCCTGTCCACCAAAGACATTACATGTGATGATGAAGTTCTTCATGTTACCAGTCCCAGTGGAATGATTTTTTCTATTTTTTTTTTTTTTAAGAGCAGGACTTGAAATAATTAAATGACCTATTGAGTAATTAAAGAGAACCACGTGTATGTCTCTGGTACCGATACATATACAAATTATTATAGAATTATACCATTATACATATAGATAAAGATGTATGACGTTGATTGATATATAACAGCTGTGTGTGATGAGTGGTGTGAGACAGATTATATATAAAACTGTATATTAAGAAATTATGTAAATATGATTTGTAAACATTGGATGAAAGATGAGAATTTGAAGTTGTAATGGGTTTTTAAAAAAAAAACAAAGATTGAAAGAGAAAAAGCCGAGAAGTGAGTGCTTAATGTTTATAGTGTACTTTATAAGGAATGCCCTGTATTGCCTAGCAAGTGACATGTTCATGGTGTGAAACTTTGCACTGTAGCTTTACATATAATATATTCCATTATGTATAACTTGCTGGAAGGTCTTTTCGCTTGTAGATTGTCCTTACTTTTGTAACTTGGGTTCCTGGACGTATTTTGGTAACTTGGGTTCCTGGACGTATTTTGGTAACTTGGGTTCCTGGACGTATTTTGGTAACTTGGGTTCCTGGACGTATTTTGGTAACTTGGGTTCCTGGACGTATTTTGGTAACTTGGGTTCCTGGATGTATTTTGGTAACTTGGGTTCCTGGACGTATTTTGGTAACTTGGGTTCCTGGATGTATTTTGGTAACTTGGGTTCCTGGACGTATTTTGGTAACTTGGGTTCCTGGACGTATTTTGGTAACTTGGGTTCCTGGATGTATTTTGGTAACTTGGGTTCCTGGACGTATTTTGGTAACTTGAGTTCCTGGACGTATTTTGGTAACTTGGGTTCCTGGACGTATTTTGGTAACTTGGGTTCCTGGATGTATTTTGGTAACTTGGGTTCCTGGACGTATTTTGGTAACTTGGGTTCCTGGACGTATTTTGGTAACTTGGGTTCCTGGATGTATTTTTAGAACTTGAGTTCCTGGACGTATTTTGGTAACTTGGGTTCCTGGACGTATTTTTGGTGAAAAAAAGAAAAGCAGCTTCATGTTTTATCAAATGAATGTTTTATAAAATAGAGTCTGAAACGATTCTGATTAGTAAAACATAAGTAATTTCATATCAAATCTACAGATACTTTACAATATTTTTTTTACGTAAGTACCAGACACAACAAATTTATATATATTTGTCTGGGTATATATAAATGACTTCCATTAAAACATATAAAAATCCATCAATAAACCAGACTTTCATCATTTTGAAGTCTGTAGTCGTATATTTTGTGGTCGATTGCCCGTATTTGATTGGTTATGAATAAAAGTTTAAAATACACACCTTGCTGGAGGCCTTAATTCATTTGAATAATTCAAACAAACTTAATAAAATTGAGGATGCTCAAATTTATCAAAAAAAAACAAAAACATAACAAAAACAAAAAAAAAATGGAAAGAATTTGAGTTAAATGTAAAGATTAAAGATAATATTTATAGGTAGTTGGTAGGCACAAAAAACATCTTTCATATTTCACCATTTCAACTCCAATGTTCTGTTTAGACCATCCATCCTCATATGACCCTGGCTGTTGCTGATTAAACTGTGAACTGACGACACTACCAATACATGGTGTGTTGTTTGAGAGTTCGCTTCACCGCCTTCGTATTTAACTTCCATTAAGCTGCAGTCTGATTAAAATTTCTATCCAAAGAAGTAACTATCAATGTTTTATGATATTCTGTTAATCTACTTAAAAATCTGTCTCCTTTAGCTGTACCCACAATCCCGCAGCTGTAAAGTACCGTAAATACACACAATATATAGTAATATTGGTCCATACAATCATTGTATTCATGGACTTGGACGTATACTGCGATACAATATTCATTTATATATTAAATTTTGAGAGATTTAAATAAATATTTTGTATATTTTCATCTTGCAATTTTTGTCCTTTATTCTGTGTAGTATGTTGCTGAGCAATGTCTTAGACAGTAAAGAGGTCAGATTTATGTTAGTGGTGTAATGTTGTTTGGTTTGTAACATGAAACACAACATCAGTTGCAGATATCAATACAAAATATCAGCTCACAAACTACAGTTGGCTGTTTTACAGTCGGATATTGATGAAATTACCACGCTATCCGACAACATTTCTGTGTACCTGAACTTGACTGTTTTGATACCTGGTTTCCTGTTTCAGGTATAATACTGATACATTGCAGTAAGTTGTTTTTTAAAAGTCTTTTTTTTATATTTATTTAAAAGAAATAAGATGAGAAAAACTGAAACAAAAAAAGCTAAAATTTGAAAAACAATGATGATGAAAAAACTGACTTCAACTTTCAAAATGTTGTGAATAGTCCATATACACTGTGCATTAAGAGCAATGAGAAATAAAATGATTATCTGTTTCTGAATCTTCAGATTAACTTGAAGATTAAATCAGATATTGATATTGAACAAAGAGGCAGAGGAGTCCTGTAGGTGCTGGTAGGTAGATGTATACTGAGAGGAAAAAGAAACGCAATTAGGAATTTCCAGGTCAACTACGGGAAATAGAAAAGGGTTTTAGAGTGTAATTATGGTGTAACTGGAAGATAGTTGACCACTCTGTCACCTACGAGAATTTCATTCGTGTACGTTAAGTAAACCTTTCAAATTTGACGTTGATTCAAGAGTACCCCACTCAAAAGGAAGTGCGTTCTGGACCCATCAATATCGTGTGTGCCCCCCGCAAGCTGCAGTAACTGCATGAACTCTTTTGTGCATTGAATTGATCGGGGTATTAACCCTCCTCATTAGTATACGATTCAATTCCTCATCCAGCGCCAACGACAACTGAGCAACGTCGATTGGAGGATTCGGCCTACGTCTTATCCTTCTGTCCAACTCGTCCCATAAATGTTCTATTGGGGAGAGGTCAGGGCTGTATGGGGGCCAGTCTAGGGTGGGACATTGCTTGCTGTGAAATAGCCATGGCAAAGCCTCGCTACATGCAGCCGGGCGTTGTCCTGCTGAAACGTCAGATGACACTGCTGTACTAGAGGAACAACATGCGGCGCTAGGACTTGATCTCTATAGCGGACGGCCGTGAGATTTCCCTGAATAACGACCAGAGGAGTCTTGATGCCATAGGCAATCCCTCCCCATACTATGACTAATCCTCCTCCAAAGCATCTGCATAGCGCTCATGGGTACGTCTACAGACACGACGTCGGCCGTCTGCCCAGTAAAGCGAAAACCTGGACTCATTTGAGAATAGGACCCTTCTCCAACGTTGCATTGGAAGCGTCTTACGGAATGTGCGTTCAGCCATTTCATTCGTCAGGCACGTCGCCGCGCATTAAGCTGTGGTCCAACAAATGGCCGCCGCGGTCTTAGACCGAAGGCACGCAGTCGAGTACGCACTGTCTTTGGATCAATTGGAACATGATGATGCCCAATTGTGTTCCTTGCTGTTTCCGTGGCCGTCAGAAAGCGATTGCGTAGGTGCCCTATCCTGCCGATGCGTCGTCACACGAGAGCGACTGCTTCAGGAACGGTCTGGAACCCTTCCGGTGGCATGTAGTCTTTGGATGAGACAGCAAATGTTTGATGGATGGACTCCAAATTGATTAGCGACCTGATTTTGCGGGGTACCTTGCATAAGAAGTGCAATGGCACGACCCCTGTCAACTTCGGACAGTCGTGGCATTTTCAAGGTGAACTGTTTATGCTTAAAATGTGGGAAATCAAGATGGATATGTCTGAAGATTCGCACACACAGATTTTGAACCAATCCCTTCTACTAGGTTTGAGATATCGTGCTTTTGTCTCTTATTCTTTTGTACAAGTGACGTGCGCAGTTTAGTTATGTATCAGTGATTTTCATACGGTACCATAGGGACCTAGCTCAAATGCACACATTTGTCAAGTTTCAAGGATGTACGTCAAGGATTTAATTTCAATATTAACTTTCTGCTAATTTCGTTTCTTTTTCCTCTCAGTATATATTGGTGGTGTAATCCTCAGTGGACACTGCATGGTGTATTCTGATAAGCTTCATAGCAGATAGGTACCAACCACAGGGACTTGGCACGAATTCCTAACCCGTGAATCATGTACATATATTATAGTTACACACAGGGACTTGGCACGAATTCCTAACCCGTGGACCATGTACATATATTATAGTTACACACAGGGACTTGGCACGAATTCCTAACCCGTGGACCATGTATATTTATTATAGTTACACACAGGGACTTGGCACGAATTCCTAACCCGTGAACCATGTACATATATTATAGTTACACACAGGGACTTGGCAAGAATTCCTAACCCGTGGACCATGTACATATATTATAGTTACACACAGGGACTTGGCAAGAATTCCTAACCCAAAAAACATATTGATGTATTCTTATAGTCCCATTTATTTCTTTTAAGTTACATGAAGCCATTCTTATTGTAAAGAAGCATGGCAGTTTTAAAGCTTTCTAGAACTTGACCCAATAGATCCCAGGATGCAACAGGCTGTTGTAAACTTCCGCTATGTCTTCCAATGCAACCACGAAAGTTTAGAAGATATCATTGTGATTCATTTTAAAAGGTATGATTAATTAAATCCATGAAAATGTTATTTTTATTTCAATCTTAAAGTCATCCTGTATATGGTCACAAACACGTGATGGAAAGGTACACGTAAAAAAAACTTGGTACCAACGTCTCGTACTGGTATTCTTGGTTTAAATCACTGCTTTTTATTCTTTCTGGAAGCGTGGCATGTCACAGTAACCAAAATTATCATTGTGGAGGTCATGCAGGTCAATAGTGCATGTGATATGCCTGGACAAAATGACCGTTCCGAAATACATAACGGTCCAAAAACAATGTCCAGATGATACGCTTCATTTGTGTGTGTTTTTATACACCGCCGGATGCGGTCAAATATTGTCATCTTCTCCGTCTGTCCATCCGTACGTCTAATTATTGTGAACGTAACTCCTCCTAAACTTGCTAAATGTCACTACTACAATGGGAAGATGTGCATGAAGGGGCAATTTTTCGGTTCATTGATTTTTGTAAGATTTATGCCATTTTATCTTGATCTTTATATATTGATTGGCGGCGTATATTGTGTCCACGGCACTCGTTTTTTTCTTCCCATTTTTTTTCGTCCACATATATCCTCAGAGTTCGTGTATGTTTAAAGTGCTTTGACTTTGTTCAATTTTTAATAACACCACAATGTGAATCAGAAAAAACCAGAAATGAATTGAATCATTTAAAATTTCCTTTCAGTCATATAGTGTTTATAAATGTGGAATACCGTTGAGCCAAAATCTTCTAATACAAGTTGAAGGATTTAAGAACAAAAATCACTTCCTCTTAAATGTTTAAGAAATGAATGACAAGTAAATTGTGTGTGTGGCAAGTCACACGTAAATTAAACCTGTTTAATCTGAACTATGATTCAAGAAAATTTTCTGGAGTTACTTTTCTTTGTTAAAATTACGTGTGAAAAAAATTGATGCGGGCATTCATCTATAGTTCAATTTTAACCTCTTTTATTTATTTGAGAATAAAAAATAATAAGAACTGAAAGTAAATAAATAGACTTTATTTGATAAAGTAATAACAATCTATTGCTACATAATCACATAAGAAATAATTCCAGTTTGTAAAATTCCGAAGTACCTGACAGTAATATACAATGTTACATGGTTTTTGAGTCTGAATTCAGTTTCAGCTTCCTTACATTTTGTATCTAACCTAACTTGGGATGTAGGTTGATATTTTTGCAAGGTTGATAAGAAACGGACCATATATATTTTCTAAGAACTTTATATATACAAATATATAAAAATTGACCTTGTTTTGAGTGTTAATGCAGCGCAGAACTGTTACCCTTGAACAGCTCAATTACAATCTAGTGATGAACTGTATAGCTGTATCATGACCTCTAATAACCATGTCAACCTCTCTGAAATACCTATCTCTTAAAATATGTTTTGGATTTTTCATATTTGATAAAATTAAAATAGAATTGTATAGGCAAAAGTTACATTGGTATAGTGATCAGCCACCAAACACATACCGAAGATTTTTCATCAAAACAAAAAATACACGTAGTAAAAGTTTTGATAATTTTTCATACACAATTTACTAAAAAGAACATATTCATTTGATATTGTTATAAACATAATGATTAGAACATCAATGAAGTGACCTTGTCCTATTTCCATTGAATTAACAGTTTTGAAAGATATACGATTTTTAATTATTAAAGATAGATAGATACAGCTATTGTAAGTATTATAGCTATATAGATCAAATTGTACTGAAACTGTTAAAATGCCACAATATAACAGGTGGTTAAAATTAACTACAAATATAAAGTTAATTAAAGTTAACCACTAATATAACAGGTGGTTAAAATTAACTACAAATATAAAGTTAATTAAAGTTAACAGGTGGTTAAAATTAACTACAAATAGAACAGGTGGTTAAAGTTAAACACTAATATAACAGGTGGTTAAAATTAACTACAAATATAACAGGTAGTTTAAATAAACCACAAATATAAAGCTAAATAAAGTTAACCACAAATATAACAAGTGGTTAAAATTAAAGGCAGTAAAATTAACCACAAATATAACAGGTGGTTAAAATTAACTACAAAAATAAAATTGGTTAAAGTTAACCACTAATATAACAGGTGGTTAAAATTAACTACAAAAATAAAATTGGTTAAAGTTAACCACTAATATAACAGGTGGTTAAAATTAACTACAAATATTAAGTTGATTAAAGTTAACCACTAATATAAAGTTGGTTAAAGTTGACCACTAATATAAAGTTGGTTAAAGTTGACCACTAATATAAAGCCGGTTAAAGTTAACCACTAATATAAAGGCGGTTAAAATTAACCACAAAAATATAACAAGTGCTCAAAATTAACTACAAATGTAAAGTTGGTTAAAATTAACCACAAATATAAAGGTGGTTACAATCCTAGATTTAAGTTGAATACAAATGTTTATGATTATACAGTAAATTTATCACTAAACAAAAATTATGGAAAAGCAAAAGTTATCTTGGGTATACAAACACTGACAGCTCTGATAATACATCAAAACAAAATGGAATGTCTGATACATCAAGACAGAATGACATATAGTTTCACATAAAAATTTGAGTTTTTATATGAATCAGCATTATTTCATTTTCCTGGTCAATATACATCAAAGATTTCAGCCTAACAATGATGGTTGATAAGTAAATCAATACAGGGTCAGAGGTCAACGATCAGTCTAGCTAAATCAATATAGGGTCAGAGGTCTAATGGTCAGTCTAGTTAAATAGTAATAGAGTTAGAAATTCACTATGAAAAGTCTTAATCACTATGATGTGGATAAAACTATCCAATGGTCAGTCTTTACTTCAACTTCCAGTGGTCAGCCTCAAAATCCACAGATCCAGTGGTCAGTCTCAAAATCCACAGATCCAGTGGTCAGTCTCAAAATCCACAGATCCAGTGGTCAGTCTCAAAATCCACAGCTCCAGTGGTCAGTCTCAAAATCCACAGATCCAGTGGTCAGCCACAAAATCCACAGATCCAGTGGTCAGCCACAAAATCCACAAATCCAGTGGTCAGCCACAAAATCCACAGATCCAGTGGTCAGTCTCAAAATCCACAGATCCAGTAGTCAGCCACAAAATCCACAGATCCAGTGGTCAGTCTCAAAATCCACAGATCCAGTGGTCAGTCTCAAAATCCACAGATCCAGTGGTCAGTCTCAAAATCCACAGATCCAGTGGTCAGTCTGATTCCAGTGTGATAATTAACAATCCACCATTTTGTACTGTAATTAGCTAACTAGGTCTCTAGATTACGAAGGCTGTCCATCTCCTTGGAAATAACGTTGGTAACGTGCATACACTTGTCAGCTAGTGTACCCCCCATCCTCTTAAGGGCAATCTCTGCTGCTTCTCGCACAGACTTGATCGGGTCATTCCTCCTGAAAATCACAGAAGTCAAACTACTATGAATACATGCAGATTTTAGATATCATTTCAAGATTTCAATTTTTTTCACTATAGTTGAACTATAGAAAATTTAAATAGCAGAAAATCCATTTTTCTTTAATGCTGTTATCATCTCTAAATTAAAAACAGTTAGATTTCATTATCCAAACTTCTCTTTAAGGACATATCAAAATTGATAATTACTGAAAAATCAAAGACTGACATTGTATAGTAAGTTGTGACATTTTTTGTCAAATTCATGGCAGCTTACTGTTTACTTGTGTTGGTCTAGTGAAATCTAAATATCAGATACATAATAATGGTTCCATACTTAAAATCCTGTTAGACCTTAATCTGGTTATGTGAAATTAATGCAAGAATTTAAGGAATGCAGTTTCAGGGAAAATCCAGAGAGCTAGGGGATGTTTTAGCAATTTTTGCCACTGTCAGAAACAAGGTGGGACATCCTGTATCAAAAAAGAAGAAAATAAATAATTAAAAAAAAGAGTCAATCATTGTTTTGATGAGTCTACAAAATGATTCCTGTAAGTCTTTGCTATATACTTATGTACAGGTACAAGTACAAAGACATGCAGCATCAGGTGAAAAGCTCTAGAACGGCCATTGTACACTAATCTGACAGCAATAACCCTAACAAAAGCTCTAGAACGGCCATTGTACACTAATCTGACAGCAATAACCCAAACAAAAGGCCATTGTACACTAATCTGACAGCAATAACCCTAACAAAAGCTCTAGAACGACAGCAATAACCCTAACAAAAGCTCTAGAACGGCCATTGTACACTAATCTGACAGCAATAACCCAAACAAAAGCTCTAGAACGGCCATTGTACACTAATCTGACAGCAATAACCCAAACAAAAGCTCTAGAACGGCCATTGTACACTAATCTGACAGCAATAACCCAAACAAAAGCTCTAGAACGGCCATTGTACACTAATCTGACAGCAATAACCCTAACAAAAGCTCTAGAACGGCCATTGTACACTAATCTGACAGCAATAACCCAAACAAAAGCTCTAGAACGGCCATTGTACACTAATCTGACAGCAATAACCCTAACAAAAGCTCTAGAACGGCCATTGTACACTAATCTGACAGCAATAACCCAAACAAAAGCTCTAGAACGGCCATTGTACACTAATCTGACAGCAATAACCCAAACGAAAAGCTCTAGAACGGCCATTGTATACTAATCTGACAGCAATAACCTGAACAAGTGATTTTAGTTAGAAGATCAAGTGGTTTACCCGATACATTTTATAATGTATAACTAATTTCATTCCACAGAAACAAGTTTTCTATTTATAGTAACTCTGTTACAGTAACTTTGAGGTTTGACCTACAAAATTGAAAGGTCATCTATCTCATGCTGGAACTTTCTGTAACAAAGCTACCTATTGCATGAAATTTTGAATTTATCAAAATTTTCTTGAAGCCTATTCCTAGTTATAGTAAGTTTGACCTTGACCTTTAACCTTCTAAAATGAAAAGAACTTGACTCAAGCAAGGAGTTCCAGCAAGGAAACATTTGAGGAATTTTGAGTTTCATTGACCAAAGAGAGAAACTTCAATATTGTGTAGAAATCACTTTTCTATTTATGCTGGCCTTCACCTTTAACCTTAATTAGACCTGGCATATCATCCAGGTATCAGATCTTCCACATGCACAAAGAAACATTTGGCACTTCGGAACATGTCTCTGGCTCTTACCATAAACAAACAATATTTTGTCTTCCAAAATGTTGCAATATTGTTTATAGATCTAGCTACTGCACCAACACAACTTTGCACTAAAACCCCTCTTTTTTGGAACAGTGATCTTGACCTTAATAATTACAATGAGAAGCACAGTATGAAAGTAAATTTGGTGAGACTAAAAGAAGCTTAAATTACCTCAAGGAAACCATGGCTTTGGCGACAAAACCAATGGTCAATTAATAGTTCCATCGTCATGGTGACAAATACAAAACTCCTCCCCAGATCACTGACAGTTGTCGGTGAGCCAATACCTGGCAATGGGAGGAGTCAACCAACCAAACCAAATACAAAACAGGGTTCAAAGTTTTTCTTACCAGCGATCTGCAACTGCTGTCTCACTTTTGCCACCTGCCTTGAGGAAGCCGAGGGCTAGACAGGCACTTTCTCTGACCAGTCTGTCATCATCATCAAGCTTACTGATGATCTTGTCGACCGTCAATTTCCGTGATTTTGCTGAAAAGGAAAAAACAAGAGAATTGTTAGAATTAATGGATGCTCCCTGAATAAGCATTAGTACCAAAAGGGCTATTTATTTAAATATGAAAAATTACAAAGGGCAATAACTCCTTAACTATAAAAAAGAGGTTTCATGTTGATACTTCTACCTCCTGTAGTTTTTGTGATATGCTGTGGGCAAATGAACAGACGGATGAAGAAACAGACAGACAAAGCAGCAAATATAGGCATACTAATGTTGAATTAGTTTTGATTAAGGCATCAAAAAGTATGATGTTCTAATTTTTATATGATTTTTAAACGAATAAAATTGTGAAACATTGATACCACGAAAATTAAATAAAATGCGAAAATCATAATTTGGGTCATTAATTTATTAAAGATGCATCCATGTTGTTTTAATTTTTTTGACAAAACCTTGAAAAGAAACTTCAAAATTATGGAGAAAAGATTCCCTTGATGAAGACTGAAAATCTGGTTATTATTGTTGAGGTCTGCAGTTTGCTGAAGTCTGTCAGCAGAGTTCTATTTTGTAATGACCACTAAAAGTTTGGAAACTAAGCCAGAATATTTTACAGAAATTTTCCTGAAAAAACTCAAATTATTTAAATAAAACAAATAAATGTGTATTTTTGCTATGTGTTCTACTGTTAACAACAGCTTAATAATTGAACACAATTTTCAATTCCTCAGAGCCCAGCTATTTGTCTCTGTTGATGCCGTATGTGTTTTTTTTTCATGGAAGCAAGTTAATTGTTTTAAGGATGTGACATAAAATTCATGTCAACTACATGTACTTAGTGTTGTAAACCCTGAAGAAGACCTTTCCTCACCAGACTTTGCCAAAGCTATTGTGGCAACGGCCCGAATGTTAGGATCATCGTCATGTAACATTTCTGTGAGGCCCTTCACAACAGCAGGGAAGGTAAAATTTCCTGTGAAAATAACAAACATAAATAACAAATAAACAATTAAAAATTACTTAAACATACTGAAGTTGTGACATCTCAAGATCTTAAACTACAAATAACAAAAATGCAAAGTGGCTTGTTTGGTAGGTTTACTGCCCCGTGAACCGCCAGCGGCTTGTTTGGTAGGTTTACTGCCCCGTGAACCGCCAGCGGCTTGTTTGGTAGGTTTACTGCCCCGTGAACCGCCAGTGGCTTGTTTGTTAGGTTTACTGTCCCGTGAACCGCCAGCGGCTTGTTTGGTAGGTTTACTGCCCCGTGAACCGCCAGCGGCTTGTTTGTTAGGTTTACCGCCAGCGGCTTGTTTGCTGTCCCGTTTGTTTGGTAGGTTTAGGTTTGTTTGGTACTGCCCCGTGAACCGCCAGCGGCTTGTTTGGTAGGTTTACTGCCCCGTGAACCGCCAGCGGCTTGTTTGGTAGGTTTACTGTCCCGCCAGTGAACCGCCAGCGGCTTGTTTGGTAGGTTTACTGTCCCGTGAACCGCCAGCGGCTTGTTTGGTAGGTTTACTGTCCCGTGAACCGCCAGCGGCTTGTTTGGTAGGTTTACTGCCCCGTGAACCGCCAGCGGCTTGTTTGGTAGGTTTACTGTCCCGTGAACCGCCAGCGGCTTGTTTGGTAGGTTTACTGCCCCGTGAACCGCCAGCGGCTTGTTTGGTAGGTTTACTGCCCCGTGAACCGCCAGCGGCTTGTTTGGTAGGTTTACTGTCCCGTGATGCGCCAGCGGCTTGTTTGGTAGGTTTACTGTCCCGTGAACCGCCAGCGGCTTGTTTGGTAGGTTTACTGTCCCGTGAACCGCCAGCGGCTTGTTTGGTAGGTTTACTGCCCCGTGAAGCCTTGTTTGGTAGGTTTACTGTCCCGTGAACCGCCAGGGCTTGTTTGGTAGGTTTACTGCCCCGTGAACCGCCAGCGGCTTGTTTGGTAGGTTTACTGCCCCGTGAACCGTCAGCGGCTTGTTTGGTAGGTTTACTGTCCCGTGAACCGCCAGTGGCTTGTTTGGTAGGTTTACTGCCCCGTGAACCGCCAGCGGCTTGTTTGGTAGGTTTACTGCCCCGTGAACCGCCAGCGGCTTGTTTGGTAGGTTTACTGTCCCGTGAACCGCCAGCGGCTTGTTTGGTAGGTTTACTGCCCCGTGAACCGCCAGCGGCTTGTTTGTTAGGTTTACTGTCCCGTGAAGGTTTACTGTCCCGTGAACCGCCAGCGGCTTGTTTGGTAGGTTTACTGCCCCGTGAACCGCCAGCGGCTTGTTTGGTAGGTTTACTGCCCCGTGAACCGCCAGCGGCTTGTTTGGTAGGTTTACTGCCCCGTGAACCGCCAGCGGCTTGTTTGGTAGGTTTACCCCGTGAACCGCCAGCGGCTTGTTTGGTAGGTTTACTGCCCGTGAACCGCCAGCGGCTTGTTTGGTAGGCCAGCGGCTTGTTTGGTAGGTTTACTGTCCCGTGAACCGCCAGCGGCTTGTTTGGTAGGTTTACTGTCCCGTGAACCGCCAGCGGCTTGTTTGGTAGGTTTACTGTCCCGTGAACCGCCAGCGGCTTGTTTGGGCTAGGTTTACTGCCCCGTGAACCGCCAGTTGTTTGGTAGGTTTACTGTCGCCGCCAGCGGCTTGTTTGGTAGGTTTACTGTCCCGTGAACCGCCAGCGGCTTGTTTGGTAGGTTTACTGTCCCGTGAACCGCCAGTGGCTTGTTTGGTAGGTTTACTGCCCCGTGAACCGCCAGCGGCTTGTTTGGTAGGTTTACTGTCCCGTGAACCGCCAGTGGCTTGTTTGGTAGGTTTACTGCCCCGTGAACCGCCAGCGGCTTGTTTGGTAGGTTTACTGCCCCGTGAACCGTCAGCGGCTTGTTTGGTAGGTTTACTGTCCCGTGAACCGCCAGTTGCTTGTTTGGTAGGTTTACTGCCCCGTGAACCGCCAGTGGCTTGTTTGGTAGGTTTACTGCCCCGTGAACCGCCAGTGGCTTGTTTGGTAGGTTTACTGCCCCGTGAACCGCCAGTGGCTTGTTTGGTAGGTTTACTGCCCTGTGAACCGCCAGTGTCATTTTGACATAGGGTTTCCTTGTAGTAGCTGATGACTTACTCACTGTACAATATATGGAAGGCCCATCGCATGCTGCCATGCAGAGCAATTCGGGTAAAGAATATGAATTTCAATGCTCTACAGACTGCACTTTATCGTGGTCCCCAGCTGCACATAGACATCCCAAATATTCCAAAACACTTAACAAATACAGCAAGCACAACTGATCCTATGTTGAATTTATACATTAATTTACAAGTACATTGTAGATCTCTTTCTAAGTGAATAGTTCTCAGGAGTGTAATGAAAACTTGGAATGGATTGATGAAATTCTAGCCTATCACCATGTCAAGGTGGACTAACAATCACATGAAAAAGAAATTATTCTGTAGTTTTGAAAATAAACAAAACCACCTAGTTGCCTTATTGACTACAATACATTATTACCATCTGGTGTATTTTTTTTTGTCTATAATCTATTAACCATCTCGTCACACTATTTTCGACCTTAATGTTGACAAAGGATTACTACAGCGAAAAAAGTAGGTTGATTCCTTAACATCTCATATACTACCTACGTCAGTTCTAGTACACTTAACAGTGGTCATTTGTCTAATGAAGGTTCACTGAAACATCACACTTTAATCTTCAAGTGGTTGTGTTATAAGATGAAGGTGACCGTCTAGTCACTGAAACATCACACTCTAATCTTCTACTGGTTGTGTTATAAGATGAAGGTGACCGTCTAGTCACTGAAACATCACACTCTAATCTTCTACTGGTTGTGTTATAAGATGAAGGTGACTGTGTAGTCACTGAAACGTCATGCTCTAATCTTCTACTGGTTGTGTTATAAGATGAAGGTGACCGTCTAGTCACTGAAACACCACACTCTAATCTTCTACTGGTTGTGTTATAAGATGAAGGTGACCGTCTAGTCACTGAAACATCACACTCTAATCTTCTACTGGTTGTGTTATAAGATGAAGGTGACCGTCTAGTCACTGAAACATCACACTCTAATCTTCTACTGGTTGTGTTATATGAACTTCTATTATATTGATATTACCAACCTGAAGAGAATGTTCCAAAACAATTAAATTACGATATGTATGTTGTATAAAATACTTACCCAAGTTCTGTATCGTCGTAAGTCTCATTGTACTGGTCATGTTGAAAACGGCATACATGGCGTAGTAGCCAACAACATATTGTTGTATCCTGTTGTAGAATCGGTGAGGGTCTGCATCAGGGTTTCCCTCACAAAAGTTATCATAAACAGACCTCTTCACAACTTTGTTCAAAGTGAAAATATCCTTATACATCAAGTTCAGAAAGAACTTGAATTTGTCTGCAGAATATTTCACTGATATTTTTTCTTTATAGTCATTTTCAAATTTCTGACGGAAAGTAGTCCAAGGGACTTCAGACTTGTCTCTGAAATTGCGATCCCAGAAGTCATAACGGAGTTGTCTGCCCCTTGCACTTCGTACGGATCGTGTGGTTGCTGCAGTAGTGGGTCTTGTGTTTTCTACCTCCTCGTCTGAAGAGCTATCAGAACTACTTTCCTGATCTGACTCATTGCCATTGTTGCTGTCGAAATTGATATTTACATTCATTCCATGGAATTGCAGCACTCCTGTATCCAAGATAAAAACAACATGATACCAAACCTCATTTGAAAAGGCACTGTACATCTACAGTGCATGTAGTTGTCTATTAGCAATGTGTTAGTTAGAAAACTAAAATAGCCCTATAGACTAACCCCTCACCAGTTCTACCTTGGTGGACAGAAGTCATCCTTCTTATCAATGACAGCATAAACAACATAGATAGAATTGATGAGTTTATCTTAAACCAGATGTTTTGAATATTGCTTTTAAGAATTGTAAAACACTTGCATGATCTGCAAATTCAGCAGGTGTCTGTTTCCACTGCACAAGACTGGATATGTAGGCCATATCTACACTAGCTCAGATGTTTGAGTTTTATCAGTAAAATAAAAATTAAAAAACCAGGACCAAATCTCCATCCACGATCTCTAATAGAGGTCAGGTCCTGTTTTTTTTTTATTTGGAACCTCCATTCACGATCTCTAATAGAGATCCGGTCCTGTTCTTTTTTTATTTGGAACCTCCATTCACGATCTCGAACAGAGATCCGGTCCTGTTTTTTTCATTTGGAACCTCCATTCACGATCTCTAATAGAGGTCAGGTCCTGTTTTTTTTATTTGGAATCTCCATTCACAATCTCTGATAGAGACCAGGTCCTGTTTTTTTTTTAATTTGGAACCTCCATTCACGATCTCTACTAGAGACCATGTCCTGGTTTTTTTTATTTGGAACCTCCATTCACGATCTCTACTACAGACCATGTCCTGTTTTTTTTTGTTTTTTTTTTTATTATTATTTGGAACCTCCATTCACGATCTCTAATAGAGGTCAGATCCTGTTTTTTTTTTAATTGGAACCTCCATTCACAATCTCTAATAGAGATCCGGTCCTGTTTTTTTATTATTTGGAACCTCCATTCACGATCTCTAATAGAGGTCAGGTCCTGTTTTTTTTTAATTGGAACCTCCATTCACAATCTCTAATAGAGATCCGGTCCTGTTTTTTTTTTATTTGGAACCTCCATTCACGATCTCGAATAGAGGTCAGGTCCTGTTTTTTTTTTATTTGGAACCTCCATTCACGATCTCTAATAGAGATCCGGTCCTGTTTTTTTATTATTTGGAACCTCCATTCACGATCTCTAATAGAGGTCAGGTCCTGTTTTTTTTTAATTGGAACCTCCATTCACAATCTCTAATAGAGATCCGGTCCTGTTTTTTTTATTTGGAACCTCCATTCACGATCTCTAATAGAGGTCAGGTCCTTTTTTTTAATTTGGAACCTCCATTCACGATCTCTAATAGAGGTCAGGTCCTGTTTTTTTTTATTTGGAATCTCCATTCACAATCTCTAATAGAGACCAGGTCCTGTTTTTTTTATTTGGAACCTCCATTCACGATCTCTAATAGAGGTCAGGTCCTGTTTTTTTTTATTTGGAACCTCCATTCACGATCTCTACTAGAGACCATGTCCTGGTTTTTTTTTATTATTATTTGGAACCTCCATTCACGATCTCTAATAGAGATCCGGACCTGTTTTTTTTATTTGGAACCTCCATTCACGATCTCTAATAGAGACCAGGTCCTGTTTTTTTTATTTGGACCCTCCATTCACGATCTCTTCTAGAGACCATGTCCTGGTTTTTTTTTTTATTATTATTTGGAACCTCCATTCACGATCTCTAATAGAGATCCGGACCTGTTTTTTTTATTTGGAACCTCCATTCACGATCTCTACTACAGACCATGTCCTGTTTTTTTTGTTTTTTTTTATTATTATTATTATTTGGAACCTCCATTCACGATCTCTAATAGAGGTCAGGTCCTGTTTTTTTTTTTTTTTTTTAATTGGAACCTCCATTCACAATCTCTAATAGAGATCCGGTCCTATTTTTTTTTTTTGAACCTCCATTCACAATCTCTAATAGAGATCCGGTCCTGTTTTTTTTTTTATTTGGAACCTCCATTCACGATCTCTAACAGAGATCCGGTCCTGTTTTTTGTATTTGGAACCTCCATTCACGCTAATGGTGATTGAGTTCTGGTACTTTTTTTACTTATTTTACCTATAAAGCTCAAACAACTGTGTCTACAAAGTCAACGAAGAAAACCAGAACATCACTGTTTCCATGGTAACTGTATTGTTGCAATGCATATAATCTTTCCTGCCCTTGTGTTACCTGTCTCCTCGGCTGTCGTGTCCTGCGGTTGCTCCTCCTGATCAAAAGACTCCCTCATGGAGGCCAACAGAGCAGGCATATTCATCTCCCACATCTCCTCTTTGAAGAAAAATGTCCAGTTTATCTTTGCCAACATCAGTTTTCTGTTGCCAGGATATAACCAGATATAACTTTAGATAAACAACAGGCTAATAAAAAAAATATCTCTATTTAACATAAACTTTATTTTACTACAACTTTGAGCTAGCCATCAGAAATAGGAATCAGTTTTTGTTGGCTGACATTGAATCACGTGAGGGGTACGAGGAAAACCCAAGTGGTCAAATAGGTAACCCTAGACCAATACACTCTGTCTCTAAAATGATAATTTGATGTCAATATTTACATATTACCATATGAGTCAATAAAATTGTAAATATTGATAACAGAATAATAAATGTATATTGACATCAAATGATCATTTTAGAGACAGAGGTGTTGGATCTAAGGTCACCCCTGATCTTTCCACGTCCATGCAGGAAGTGTGGGAAAAAAGGGCCAGAGGCAATAACTAATGTGCTGCATGTTCACCTATAAGATGCCAGACTGAATCTGTATTATCTGTCACAAATTATAAACCGCGGACAAAATGACATCGATATATGGAATCAATTTTACAAAATGCTTTAAAAGCTTCTCTGTTTTATTAAGTACATTACAGTAAGTACTTAATGTAAGATGCTATAAGATAAATAAGCAAACAAATAAATCAATGAATAAAAAATAAACAAATATATAAATAATTGAAAATAAATAAGTAAACAAATTTATAAATAAACTAATCAATCAAAATAAATAAATAAATAAGGGTAAACAAAATCCTACATAAACATAATAGATACATACATGCCTCCATCCAGATGAGGATTAATGTCCCGAAATCTGCTGAGACCAATCGGGAATATGTTGGAATTGGAGATATATGCAAGAGCTAGTTCATCCTGACAGTGAGAGTCCCTGATTGTAGCTTCACCAATCACCATGGCAAACACCTATACACAAATATCACCTCATCAACTTCCTTCTTGACATATTTACTAAATGTACCTTTGAATCTGGAAATGATCAGCTTCAAATCAATATTGACAATATTAATGTTAAACATCTATATAATAATTTTGATTGATTTTTTGGGGGATTGACTAAAAATCTATTTGATAAGAGTAGATTACCTTACTGAAAGTATTCTCACTTTTTCTTAAACTTATCATAACTTTATGAGAAAAGTTTTTCTTCCTAAATGAGTTATCTACCTTATAATTAATTGAGACTAGTCTCCCCTTATAAATCAAATATCTACCTTATAATTAATTGAGACTAGTCTCCCCTTATAAATCAAATATCTACCTTATAATTAATTGAGACTAGTCTCCCCTTATAAATCAAATATCTACCTTATAATTAATTGAGACTAGTCTCCCCTTATAAATCAAATATCTACTTTATAATTAATTATGACTAGTCTCCCCTTATAAATCAAAAATCTACTTTATAATTAATTGAGACTAGTCTCCCCTTATAAATCAAATATCTACCTTATAATTAATTGAGACTAGTCTCCCCTTATAAATCAAATATCTACCTTATAATTAATTGAGACTAGTTTCCCCTTATAAATCAAATATCTACCTTATAATTAATTGAGATTAGTCTCCCCTTATAAATCAAATATCTACCTTATAATTAATTGAGTGTAGTCTCCCCTTCTAACTCAGACATTTGCCTTATAAATTATAATTAAGAGTAGTCTCCCCTTTTACATAAATCTGAGTAGTTTCCCTTGGGCTCTTTGTTATTTTTGGGTATAATTTCTGTAATATATAAACATACCTTACAAATGATAATTGCCTCCCCTTTTCGACTTGAACCTACCTTACAACTAAGAATTGCCTCCCCTTTTTTACTCATATTCAGCTTGGGATCTTGGTCTGGATCAGCATACCATACCTTCCATCCCTGCTCTTCAAATTTGGCTAAAAAAAATATCACAAGAGTAAAACAATCACCGATAACAGAGTTAAGGTCAGAAGAATACACATGCGAACATAAAAAGAAAAGAATGAGAAAAAAAAAAAAAAATCACAGGATATGTTGTTATCATATCAAATCTAATGATTTTGTCGAGGTCTGTTTTATTTGCCAGCATCATACATACAAACCAAGTTGCCCACGAAAGAAAATAAGTTTGACATAACAACAGTTACTAGGGTGGGCTTTTCACAACATATTGGTGTATTGCTTGAGGACTATACATACCTTTCAGTTTCTTGACAAAGCTGATGTTGGTTTTATTGTAACTGATCATGACATCACATGTCACTTTGGTTTGAAGGTTTATTGCCATTGTTCCGAGGAATGTCTAAACTGTTATCTGGGTGAAGTCTGTTGTCAGGACTGTCGTGATGACAGTCAGTGTTGTCTTGGATGGCAGCACCACCGATGGCTGTCTCAGGAACTCCGGAACTTGTGGGCTCAATCACTGAAAACAAATTAAGTCTAAACAGGTTTTACATGATCAGAATATGTATCATAATTAGCCTGCAACCAGTTGCAAAGGGAGGTCGAGCAACACATAACTGCTAGCTCAAAGTCCTCGGGTGGGCATATGAAGGGGCAATGAAAAGACAGTACACTTAACTCTATAGAATTATCCACTTGTTGTTTGACATTCTCTTCAACAGTAATATACGTGGGTGGGCTTATTACCAGACCTGGACTTAACGGAGGACAGATATACAGTTATGAATCATTTTAGGAATTTTCATTTTTTTTCGTTTCTTTGTATTTGAGTCCAACTTTAATCTTTAATTTTGATCAAGCAAGTCAAAAGTGACTTTAAGTAAGCAAACCAAAGGTGACTTAAAACAAGCAAACTAAAGGTGACTTAAAACAAGCAAACTAAAGGTGACTTAAAACAAGCAAACCAAAGGTGACTTAAAACAAGCAACTAAAGGTGACTTAAAACAAGCAAACCAAAGATGACTTAAAACAAGCAAACCAAAGGTGACTTAAAACAAGCAACTAAAGGTGACTTAAAACAAGCAACTAAAGGTGATTTACAACAAGCAACTAAAGGTGACTTAAAACAAACAACTAAAGGTGATTTACAACAAGCAAATCAAAGGTGACTTACAACAAGCAACTAAAGGTGACTTACAACAAGCAAACCAAAGGTGATTTAAAACAAGCAACTAAAGGTGACTTACAACAAGCAAACCAAAGGTGACTTAAAACAAGCAACTAAAGGTGACTTAAAACAAGCAAACCAAAGATGACTTAAAACAAGCAAACCAAAGGTGACTTAAAACAAGCAACTAAAGGTGACTTAAAACAAGCAACTAAAGGTGATTTACAACAAGCAACTAAAGGTGACTTAAAACAAACAACTAAAGGTGATTTACAACAAGCAAATCAAAGGTGACTTACAACAAGCAACTAAAGGTGACTTACAACAAGCAAACCAAAGGTGATTTAAAACAAGCAACTAAAGGTGACTTACAACAAGCAAACCAAAGGTGACTTACAACAAGCAACTAAAGGTGACTTAAAACAAGCAACTAAAGGTGACTTACAACAAGCAAATCAAAGGTGATTTAAAACAAGCAACTAAAGGTGACTTACAACAAGCAAACCAAAGGTGACTTAAAACAAGCAACTAAAGGTGACTTAAAACAAGCAACTAAAGGTGACTTACAACAAGCAAATCAAAGGTGATTTAAAACAAGCAACTAAAGGTGACTTACAACAAGCAAATCAAAGGTGATTTAAAACAAGCAACTAAAGGTGACTTACAACAAGCAAACCAAAGGTGACTTAAAACAAGCATATTTCTTTATCATGCAAACAATGGTTACATAATTGCACAGTTAATATGAATGTGCCACTGATTTCCAACACCACACAAAAAATCAGGTGTAATTATCCAAGCTCATCCTAACCTTTCCTAACAAATTGTAAACCTGAATGAAAATCAACAAAGAGTGAATTTTTTCATGATGTCTTTTTTATTAAGCATTTGAATACCAGGTTATCATAGTTATATGTGGACAGTAGTTATCATAGTTATATGTAGACAGTAGTTATCATAGTAGTTATCATAGTTATATATAGACAGTAGTTATCATAGTTATATGTAGACAGTAGTTATCATAGTTATATGTAGACAGTAGTTATCATAGTTATATGTGGACAGTAGTTATCATAGTTATATGTAGACAGTAGTTATCATAGCTATATGTGGACAGTAGTTATCATAGTTATATGTGGACAGTAGTTATCATAGTTATATGTAGACAGTAGTTATCATAGTTATATGTAGACAGTAGTTATCATAGTTATATGTGGACAGTAGTTATCATAGTTATATGTAGACAGTAGTTATCATAGTCATATGTAGACAGTAGTTATCATAGTTATATGTAGACAGTAGTTATCATAGTTATATGTAGACAGTAGTTATCATAGTTATATGTAGACAGTAGTTATCATAGTTATATGTAGACAGTAGTTATCATAGTTATATGTAGACAGTAGTTATCATAGTATATGTATAGTTATCATAGTTATATGTAGACAGTAGTTATCATAGTTATATGTAGACAGTAGTTATCATAGTTATATGTGGACAGTAGTTATCATAGTTATATGTAGACAGTAGTTATCATAGTTATATGTAGACAGTAGTTATCATAGCTATATGTGGACAGTAGTTATCATAGTTATATGTAGACAGTAGTTATCATAGTTATATGTAGACAGTAGTTATCATAGTTATATGTAGACAGTAGTTATCATAGTTATATATAGACAGTAGTTATCATAGTTATATGTAGACAGTAGTTATCATAGTTATATGTAGACAGTAGTTATCATAGTTATATGTAGACAGTAGTTATCATAGTTATATGTAGACAGTAGTTATCATAGTTATATGTAGACAGTAGTTATCATAGTTATATGTGGAGACAGTAGTTATCATAGTTATATGTAGACAGTAGTTATCATAGTTATATGTAGACAGTAGTTATCATAGTCATATGTAGACAGTAGTTATCATAGTTATATGTGGACAGTAGTTATCATAGTTATATGTGGACAGTAGTTATCATAGTTATATGTGGACAGTAGTTATCATAGTTATATGTGGACAGTAGTTATCATAGTTATATGTGGACAGTAGTTATCATAGTTATATGTGGACAGTAGTTATCATAGTTATATGTAGACAGTAGTTATCATAGTTATATGTAGACAGTAGTTATCATAGTTATATGTGGACAGTAGTTATCATAGTTATATGTGGACAGTAGTTATCATAGTCATATGTAGACAGTAGTTATCATAGTTATATGTAGACAGTAGTTATCATAGTTATATGTAGACAGTAGTTATCATAGTTATATGTGGACAGTAGTTATCATAGTTATATGTGGACAGTAGTTATCATAGTTATATGTGGACAGTAGTTATCATAGTTATATGTGGACAGTAGTTATCATAGTTATATGTGGACAGTAGTTATCATAGTTATATGTGGACAGTAGTTATCATAGTAGTCATCATAGTTATATGTGGACAGTAGTTACCATAGTTATATGTGGACAGTAGTTATCATAGTTATATGTAGACAGTAGTTATCATAGTTATATGTGGACAGTAGTTATCATAGTAGTTATCATAGTTATATGTAGACAGTAGTTATCTTGTCATATGTAGACAGTAGTTATCATAGTTATCTGTGGACAGTAGTTATCATAGTAGTTATCATAGTTATATGTGGACAGTAGTTATCATAGTAGTGATCATAGTTATATGTAGACAGTAGTTATCATAGTTATATGTGGACAGTAGTTATCATAGTTATATGTAGACAGTAGGTATCATAGTTATATGTAGACAGTAGGTATCATAGTATATCAGGCCATTCAGAAATTCATACATAGATAACGATGAGGTTTTGTCATGAATTAAAAATGGTTCAACAAAATGGCCGTCTCCAATTTCAAACCTGTCAAAATGTATTTTTTCTGAATTATGTAATAAAAATTACATATAGTGTGTTTACATTTCATAGCAGATTTTATGAAACTCATCTTGAAGTTTTAATCTTTGCTTGCTAAGAAAACTTGCAAAAATGAAAATTTCTAAAAGTTTGATATAATCTCCTGTGAAATGAAAACTCTTTAAGATTCTATCTATAAAGAAGGATGATTAAGAGAGAATGTTAATTATCATTTCTTATCAATTCTAGTTACTTAATCCTGGTGGTAGGATCAGTGTTTGACAGCCATTCGCTATAAAGTTTTATGTGACCCTGGTAAAATACTAGCCGTAATATACCACTCAGTTAGTGAGAACTTCTCTTTAGCTCGACTGGTTGAGCGTCAGACTAGTACACCAGGGGTCCTGGGTTCGATTCCTAGCGGAGGCATTAAAATAAATAATGACCTCTGTCACATTGGCGCCCATGTAGGAACCCAGGAATAATACTTAGCCATGCCCCACCAGCATCGCTGTAACCCCTGGAAACTCGAGGACGAGTTATTTCCTGGAGAGGGAGTATGTAACCCTGGTAAAATACTAGCCGCAATATACCACTCAGCTAGGGAGAACTTCTCTTTAGCTCAATTGGTTGAGCATCAGACTAGTATGTCAAGGGTCCCAGGTTCGATTCCTAGCGGAGAAATTGAGATGAGAAATGACCTCTGTTAAATATCATTATCTGGTAGAGTTTCTTTTTTCTACAATGTGGACCTACCATTGATGAGAATCTTGTGTCCAGTCCCATGTTGTATCCTTCGACCGTACACACTACACATTCCCATCATCTCATATAATTATATTCCTTTCACGTATGAATCACACACGTCAGAATCTATCATTTAAATTTTTTGTATCATTTGTAAAATATCAGAGTACATGATACATCTCTAATCATGTGTCTCATTCCTCCTTGTAGGGGTAACCTGTTAATGACACACAGCAAGAATGATTATTTAATGAATCAAAGAGTTGCAGTATATTGATGAAGGCACTTCCATTTCAATTGATATCGACAATCCTTCACATCAACATTAATCAATACAATACGATAAAAACACATGAGGTGAGCTAGTCGCTTGTTTAGCGACCAATTGTTTCGAGTGTCATTGCTGTGATGTGATACTCAGATTTCTCTGTTTCAGTAGATATCAATTTTCCTCACAAACAATATTGACTGCTAGTCGTCACCTGATCTGTTGATTGTTACGTTTCAATTCAGAAACACATGTTTCAGAAATAGTCAGGATTAGATTATTTTTTTTTATTAATCAATCCGAAAGGCAACTCAGTCGTGACGATTCATAGAGATAAATGTGTAATTACTTCACAACACTCCATACACATTCTTTCTCTCCTACTCCAGAAAGAATAGAATATTGATGGATGAACTAAAGTCATATGTGTTTGTGTGTTTGATGGATGAACTAAAGTCATATG